CAAACCGTACAATCCTAAATCGAGAACGCCACTGAACACCCAATGCTCCGAGTGGAAGGACAGCGATAACAATAGCTGGATATAAATGAGACGTGTTTGGAAAACACAAAGTCGTAAGCAATACGGTAGAAATTCCAATACATTGGTATAAGGGCTGGGGAAATAGTGGAAGCCGTTATCCTCGGTTTCAGAGAGCAAGACTGTATGTGTAATCGTCCTCCATGTTTTGTGAAATCCAGAGCACCACAGAGCTATATGAAATTGATATTAGCTTCCTTTCCCAGTCACTCAAAGCGAGTACGTTAAACAGGGCGGAGCCACCCTGAAAACCTTACCTGATCATGATGAACCCATTCGCAATCACATTTGCAATTCCGAAATAAAGTGTCTGAAGCGGATACCCTTTGAGCAGATACTTGAGTACCATTACCGTCTAGAAATCGAGTCAGTTGAGCTATCTCTCCCAACTCCGTGCAAGCAGGTCGGGCCTAACATACCACACTTCCTGCAAGACCACCTGCTAGCAGCGCAAACCCCAGAAATAGCACAAATCTCACTTTCCATGCTACCCCGCTTCCAAAATAGCTCAGGTTATCGGCGGTTAAGCGGGACTTTTCGATCGAGTTGATGACCAGCATCCCCAGCGACGAACATATACCAGGGATCCAGTCGACAAATTTGACATGAACGACGGAACCATTTTTGGAGCTGTGTGAGAAGGCGGCGGCGTCGATGAGGAAGAAGAATCCGAGGGAGAACTGTCCAGTTGTAGCGGTTAGAGTCTAGAATCTGACACGGCGGTAATCCACAGGGAGCGCTGAACGAAAACGGCGTGTCCGCAAACGTCAATAGATATAATACGCACCAGAGCACCAGAGGAGTAGACTCCGGCAGAACGAGCGTTGGCGCTGTTCAGCCATCTCGGCTTAGAGAAACGGAACAGGCGAGTGTCCGAGTCATCCATGGTTTGGGGCTGGGGATACAGAGGATTCCTGATTTAGAGGGCTGTAGGGTTAGTCAAACGTGCAATAGCCCAGAGAGGGAGGGGATGTTGGGGACTAATCACTTCAATGCGATGGTACACGATTCACTTCTGATGCAAGCTCTCGTTGTTGGAGGAAGCGCTGATGTCAGCCCCGAGCTGCCCGAATTATCCAGTGGTGGTTGAACGTGACCCGGCATGGCTGTCACTGGGGCTAGTGACTAGACCAGCCCACCACAGCGCCAAGCCCTGATTTCGTTACCTCTACTCCGTACTCCGTACTCCGTATATACTTCCGTAACTAACATACAAGCTCCTTAAGCCCGCTGGCACATGGACATGATGACAAGGCGTCACCGTGATGGGAATCAACAGCATAGCTAACGGATGGGTAGGACATACTTAGATCCCACTCGCCGGAGTTGTTCACTGTTACAAAATCTATATTGCTTTCCCTAATGAGCCCCATCAATCAATGCCCATATATCTTTGACCACATCTGGTGGTTCATCTATATACTATTTCTCACTTGTAGCTCGTTCCATGTTCTAATTATACATCCACTAGGCCCAGCTCCTCACAACCAAAGTGATTGGATCATTGGGGTGGCCGGGATCGTTGGGTGGACAATTACATTACTCGCATGAGGACATCCTTTTGAGAAGTAATCGCAGCTTTTCGAACATGATCTTCTTGAAAAGCCCTATTAGGGCATCATTGTTCAAAATCATAAGTCATAAATCGTTCATTACATAGTCCCTAGCATCTAGCCACTTCAATATATGCGTATCACTCTATCCAGGTTCTTCACAGAAGATTTTCAACACCGCGTCGACGACGTCAGTGGCTTTCTCCTTGTCAAGCACCGGCACGGCTATTGTGCCTACCTCCAAAGGTTTAGTAGATGAGGCGTCAAATCCTGATTTAGTTGCGGGCACAGGACATTTGGTATTGAGATATTTTCGCAGCGCAAATGTTGATGCGCGATAGGTTGCGTGATACATCGTCTTGAATTCATCTTCTTCTTCAGCCTCCGCAGTAGATTGTAGTGGCTCCGTGGTCGGATTCTTCGTGGTCGTGGTTGCATCGGACGTAGATTCTACTTTTGCTCGAGCTGCGTTTGTCGTTCGATGATAACCATATAAACGTAAACAAGTCAATATAGTTCGAGTTAAGAGAGCTTTGTTCGTGGATACTGTAGTCTCAGCAGAAGCATTATCTAGTATCGGCGGTGGTTTTACTGGAGCTGACAATAAAGGGGTAAGCTTCCGACTTGATACACTCGCTGAGCGCAAGCGAGGTGCCGCAGAGATTTGCCTTGACAAGCTGGAATTCACACCACCGGCTGTACTAAGTCGCCGCTTCTCGTGACCCGATTGAGCGCTAGGAATCGCATTTGCATCGTTCTGTGATTCCCGTTTCATTTTCAGATAGGGGAATTGAACCATTGGCGATACTTCTCTACTCTTTTCCATATACTCGGAAACTGCAATCATGCCCTTTCGTCGCACTTTGTTGTGATATTCATTCGCGGCCTCAAAAAGTGTATCTATGCGCTTTCGTTTTGGGCTGGGAGCAAACGGATCTGAAAGGAATTCGGCATATTCGGCAGTCTCGGTGTTGTCAGAGTCTGCTGTAAGTGACGGCGAAAGGAGTGAATTGGCTTTTGGGATAAGAGCGGAACATATTGGAGCCGCATGAAGTCGTAGTTCCTTTATGGGCGCAGCTTGTGCTTGTGGTGGACGGGAAGCAGCCAACGATAAAGTGCCATATATAAGGATATCGGTTACTCTCCGTATATTCGCAATATTTCGTGCATGCTCGACGACCAACAAAATGCCGACCGGACATTGCTTCGTCGTGCAGAAGTCATCGTCCAGAAAAAAGGTTGGGTCCGAAGCTATGTTTCTCAAGACTTTGCTAATAATCCAGTCTCTAGCGAAGGCATTTGAGACGTGAACTTCCAGTACAGGTCCTGTGAGGGCGAACAACGGGATAAGGGTCGGGTCGACCAGGGAGCGAACGGAGAGCTTGGCCTTCGATATCTTGCATTGTCCGCTTGAAGATGGATCAACTAGACAGATGCCTGGCAAGAAAGTCAGTTAGTTCTAATATGTACGAACGACCAGTCCATACCATCCAACAATAACGACCCGGCGGAGACGCTTCCGGACCACACTTTCATAGTCGAACAATGCTCGCCTTATAGCATGGCGGCTCAGCTTGAAAGCGCAGAATGCGACTTTGAAATATGACAGATAGTTAAATTATCCTCGTAAATAGATTGGGACCTGGGATAAAACTTGGCCCGTCGCGTTCTCCCTCGAGATATCCATGGATCCAACACGTGATCACGTGGATCTGAATGTCACCACCACAATATCTAGAGATGAAAGGGTAAGTCGGATTCCCATTAGAAGCCGTAAAATAAACTGATGGAACACTAATATACACCAAAAGCTACCATACAACTGTGAAATGGCATGGGGATGCAATACAGTTTCACGAAATTCCCGTCCAACCTACAGCCCTTGGAGGAGCCAAGTAGCATGACAAATTAACAGACAACACTTCGCAAGGTTCGTCGAATAAAATAGGTCGCGACATCCCGAATAGAACCGCTCAAAGGGAGATCAAAGTGAATAACACCATTTACGCCAACTCGAAAGCAAACACTGAAACTGCCATATCGTAATCGTACGGAAGTAGGTGCGAGGTGGAAGATGCCAGTCTAAAACGCTTAAAACTCTTCTTGTTCCTGGAAAAACATCGAAAAGCTGATTATCGTGCCGTATATTAGGAGACCCCCTATGACAGACATAACCATCGCGGGAACCTGAATTGCACCACTATGTGCCAAGAGCGCCGGTAGGGCTATACGGACAAGGCTTGTTAACATCCATCGATGAAGGATCAACGGCAGCTACAACTCTGCTCTCCCGGGGTGCAATAACAAGTTACATACCAATTCCCATAACCACGAAGAACCCGGTAAGCCAGCGTCCAAAATCGACCACACCGCTGCCGGGTGCTTCCATAAAATCATCCGGATTCGCGCAGCGACCACAGATCCAATTTGGTAGTGGAGCAATCACATATGTTGCAACAACTAGAAGTGGGAGGTAGTTATGCCATAATGCCGCTGAAAGGATGACGAGAAGGAAGCCGATCGCAAGAACCTAGGAGAGACATTTGTTAGCAAATATATCGATGCCAAAAAGCACAAATAAAACTATAAATAAGATAATCCGCACGTACAAACGAGAGAGAAATGATGGTTTTTAAACCGGGCGTCATGATGCCGTGACGAGTATGGGTGAGCTACTGGAGGGGTTGAGCGGCTGGAGATTCAGGTAGGCTTGCGCCGAAACGCTGATTTGAAGGCAGCTGGGGGTTATTAGCTAGGAAAAACAGACTCGGGTCACAATCAAAGGTCTCTATAAATTCGCGTGCAGACCTCAAAGCTCGTGCACTCGGCCAGGTAATTCAACGTCAGCCCCAGGTAGCCGCCATTGCAACCGCAGCATCATCGGCTTACTTGCTTGACAGGCCATGCTTATGTAACTAACAACCTCAGACCTGAAATAAAGTTTAGTTATTTGAGAATACGCTAATCCAAAGGTGGATAAGAGCTATGTTGGGCACGTCGTCCTCTCTCTCTGCCTGGGTGAGCATCATTCAAGCCGCCCTCCTCACTCAAAATAGCTATACCTTGTGCAATTCTAAGCCTCAAGTAGCACTCCCACAACGCTTGGATTCCCTTTTGCTTGAATCCACGTTTGAACTGATCTGTTCAACATGTTCCGAAACAACTACGACAACGACTCGGTCACATTGTATGTGAAGCTCGCGGCTAGACCATGCTCACTGTGAATGCTAACCTAGCTGGCACACTTATAGCTCGCCACAAGGAAGAATATTTCAAGTCGAATATGCGCAAGAAGCTGTCAAGCAAGGATCGGTGGTGGTTGGGATTGTTAGCAAAACACATGCAGTCTTAGCTGCGCTCAAGGCATGTTCAACAGCCCCAACACTTACGCCTCCCCCTTACACAATATCCGACTCCAACTTTCCGTCGACCAACTCTGACATTGCAACAGAGAAACGCTGAAGAGCTGTCGTCATACCAAAAAAAAGTTATCGCCATTGATTCACATATGGGAATCGCCATTGCGGGGTTAGCTTCCGACGCCCGTGTCCTGTCCAACTTCATGAAACAACAATCCTTGTCCTCAAAGATGACATATGGCCGCCCTATTCCCATAGAACGCATTGTTAGTCGGATTGGCGACCGCGCCCAGACGAATACGCAGCATTACGGGAAAAGACCGTATGGTGTAGGATTATTGGTAGCTGGGGTGGACGAGGCCGGACCACATCTGTTCGAATTTCAGCCCTCTGGTATGACACAGGAAATGCTTGCGTGCGCAATTGGAGCAAGAAGCCAAATGGCACGGACATACTTGGAGAAACATTTGGATGAATTTGCGGACTGTGGGCGGGATCAGCTCATTAACCACGCTCTGAAGGCCTTGAAGGAGAGTTTGTCCCAAGACAAAGAGTTAACGATCGACAATACCACGGTTGGTGTTACCGGAGTTGGTACGGGCGCAGCGAAAGGGAAAACAGAGACTTTCAAGGTATATGACGGTCAAGAGGTTACCTCATTCTTAGAAGTCAGTGCAGGAGAAGCCGTCCCTTCCACTACGGAACCCCAAGAGGGAGAATCGATGGACGTGGACTCTTGATTCAAGAATTTGCGCTTACCAGTTTATCCCTATCGTGTTATGTCTGTTTGGGGTTTAGCTACGGAAGAGTAGATCGTGCTTTAGCCGATTTAATTGAAGACTATTCACTAGATGAGACCCAGAACAAACTCCAAATCCATCCAATCGCGAGATCCATTAAATTTACGAAGAAGAATCCGAACTTCTCTACCAATAAATCTATAAAAAATCCCATTCGCTGTTTGTGGTCGTCATCATGAGTTCATATCCTTGTCGCGCGCTTTCGATCACTGCGGCTTCACCTCTTCTCTTGGTCCCTCCCACTCCAAGGTATATCTTCCTTCGCTCAACTTGTACTGTTTGAGCGCCTGCAGTACATGTTCCGCATCTTTGCACTCCACCAAGATCTTACTATTCGCCTCAGTAATGAACGTCTCCTTCACGCTCTGCTCGACCCATTTCATGATCCCGTCCCAATACCCGTCAATGTTGAGCAGGACGATTCCCCGACTATGAATACCCAATTGATTCCACGTGATTATCTCCATCGCCTCTTCCAAAGTCCCAAAGCCACCAGGGAGAGCCACAAACCCGGACCCAGGACCACCGGCCATCACTTTCTCCGCCATCACGCGTTTCCGGGTATGCATGTCAGGAACGATGGTGGTGATGCCATACTCCAGGTTCACCTTCTCCGTTGAAGAAGACTGCGGGATGATGCGTTCGGGTTCCTTGCTTAGCTTTTCCTCCTGGCGGTTACCGTTTCCTGCTAGCATTGCACTGGCATTGTAGCCCTTTTCAACCCTGACCAACGCGGAAGGAATGACACCATGGACGGCCTCGGGACCGGCGAGAGATACCAAGGTCCGTGCTATTTCACCCATGATGCCGGATGTGCCACCGCCATAGACGAGGGTGATATTTTCTCTGTGGAATATTTCGGCAAGGGTACGCGCCGCAGCGATATATGCAGGGTTGTTTCCGGGCTTGGAGCCGCAACTGTATTGAGGTCGCTGTATGTTAGTTCTGTATCTGCCTGGGAAGAAGGGCGGGACCAGCAATGAGGGGTAGTCTGAAGCTTACAAGACACAGACAACGGGGCGCTTTTGCTCCATGGGGATTGTCATGGTGAACGATATAAGATTCTGTTGGTAATCTTCTGGTTCTCCGAAGGCGATTTAAGAATGGGGGTTGTTGAGATGGCTTGTTGCTTTGGAGGTTGCGCGAGTCTGAGTGCAATTTGCGGTTGCCCCTCTTCTTGCCTTGTCTCGTTGGAAGTATAACTAGATGGTGAAAGTCTTGAGTAGATGTAGCTGTAGACTTGCAAATCGCAAAGCTACCGATATTTATATCCCCAAATATATGAATGTGAAGAAGAATATAAGCTTTGATCCGACCAGTGAATTCCGGCAAAGTTTCTATTGCCCACATTGGAGATGGTACTGGCGGCGGGTTAAATATTCATCATGCCTGGACTTAGTTACTGAATTCTCTTTGTTAAGATAGATTCTAATGGATTTTTCACCACCCTTTATAGTATGTAATCCTTTGTTTATCATCTCCCCCCAATGCATATTAGAGGATCTAGAATGCCACATCAAGATCAGGGAGGTAGAACCTTCGAAAATCAAGGGAGAGATTCCTCAAAGGTTTGAAAGCATGTACTAGAATCCTCCTGTTCTGTCGAATGTTTTGTGTCCTAAACCATCTAGAAACATTGTATACTTTTGCGCATGGAAGACAAGTGCCAGTAATCACCCACTATTCTTGAACATTCCCAGTCTCACCAGATTATTCTTTGTCTAACTCGAGAAATAGACTAGAAGCTGAAGGCGGCAACAGTCCATTGATTGATCCTCAGGGGTAGGGCACTTTTCTTTCAGGAGGCTATAACTGTTCGAATCACCATTGCGAGCCTTGCAATATTATCGATGCAGTGATTGCAAACCTTTGCTCACCCGTAAAAACACACAAGACGGGCCCGAGTAACTAGTTCCATACGTCAAAATAATCACCTTAACCATCCTTCAAGGTCGCCCAGCGTATGAAGCCTTGAAAAACCTGAACAGACCGGTCCATTAGGGGTATCGTCACAGGGAAAACTACCTAGGGCCAAGATAGGACCGAAGAGGGTAGTAGCTCCTTCCAATTCCTCTCAATCGCTCATTCCTCTTCGGGACCCTAACCCCGCCACCCACCTTTCTCACTACTTAACCTCCCTTCTTCCCTCTTCCTTTCCTCTTCATCGTCACATCCCGAAAAAAAGTAAGTGAGCCCGTCCTAACCCCTTGAGATTAAAGGTTGGTGTTGATAGGAGTTTCTTAATAGTGGCATCAAAGGTAAGAGCCCCTACTGAAATTCAGAATTGGACGCAAGTCTCCAATACTATAAGCAGGACGATAATAAAGCCATCCAACCTCCCGCAGACAACTCCCAAGTCGGAAAGAAGAAGAGGAAGAGAAAGAACACAAAGGAGAAGAGGGTTGCAAAGAAAAGGAATTCTCGGGAAGCGAAGGTGAGTTTGACGCTGGCCCGCTGTAGCAACCAATATAGTAATGTTAGCTTCTGTGAAATAGAAGATAGAGATCGAGCGGCTCAAAGCCGTGGTGAGAGAAGCGGAGCGGGAGCTCCAGCGAGCAAAAGAGAAAATACGGGCTCTTGAAGCTGAGGTTGCAGAGGAGGAAGCGGAGGGGGGGTTGGCAGGACTTTCCCTGCAGAATTAGGTATGTAAAGAGGATCTCTTTCTTTTCCTAGCAGCACCAGCACCAGCACTTGCACGCCTAGCCGTACGGGCCCTGTGTACGGTACCTTAGCGAGGCTTGCACCTCTACGTGGTGCTAAGGACCAGTAGCCATATGGTGAAGCTAAGCAAGCCAATATAACTCTTCGGTTGGAGGTCACTTTCTGTTATCTGATGATGTGCGTATGTAAATTGTATAGTAGACTTGCTTCGGTGTCTGGAATCCGTCTTATGCACCCCCAAGTTGTCTGAAAGTAACCGAGTTTTAGAGGATGATTGGTGTGAAGTAAAGGCCCTTCTTGATGTGGCAACCTTTGGAAGCATGTTGGTCGTCATCTGTCCAGTTAGTAATAACCAGCTAGACTAAGTTTAGCTTGGCGCAACGTTCGGCGCCGGACTTTTGATAATCCGGCGACCAGCAAACGGACCTCAACCTTCCCTTTTTGTTTGTACTCTTCTCCTTTGGGTAATCACCTGTTGTCGTGCCTGCCTTCGTGCGCTCGAATGACCAAGTTTCCAACATTGTCTAGACGTACCTACCTATTCTAGTAGGCTTGAGATGTTAACTAAACCGCATTGGGGTTCCGCAGCTTCGAATTTCCTCACAGGGAAGGAGTATTGCCCCCTAGTGCTGTTACTCTTTAGGAAGGAAGTCGAAAGAGGAAGCGGCGATATATGGCTCCATTCAACATAAATTCGTCCGCTTCCCCCCTCCAACCTCGTCTTTTCTTTTCTCTCCTCAACTTTTTCTTTCCCATCTTCCTCTCCTAGCCAGCTCTTCCCGTCTCAGCTTGACTTCTTCTTGATTCGTATCTCTTTTTGTCATCACTCTCCCTCCTCACTATACCCTCTTTTCACTCTACATATAATTTCATCTGTCTTTATACCAATATTGTTGTGTGGTTGGCCCATCTTATTTCATTTTTGCGATTGTGCCGCGCTCCCTAGCCTACAACAACACAGCCGTTCCCTGTACCGCAGGGCCTTTCTTCAGTGGGCGTTTTGAGGGCATTACCAGTGGGTATTCTGAGGGCATTACCAGTGGGCATTCTGAGGGCGTTATCAGTGGGCACTATGAGGGCATTTTCAGTGGGCATTATGAAGGCATCACCAGCGGCTGTGAAGGAACTCTTCAGTGGGCGGAGAAAAGGTTGCAAATTAAATGAGTGGGCTTGGCAGTCTTCGGTTTAGCCGACTTTGCGAGGGTTTGGGTCTTAACGGGCTCAACAGGCAGGTCCTCCGGCTGACAGATTTGGGAGCTAGCCGATTGCAATGTTCTGGAGTCGAAAGGCTCGACAGGCAGGTCCTCCGGCTGACAGATTTGAGAGCTAGCCATCGCAATGTTCTGCGCAGACAGGCAGGTCTTCGGGCTAGCCAATTGCGATGTTCTGAGTCGAAAGGCTCGACAGGCAGGTTCTTGGGTTGTCAGGCCTTCGGGCTAGCCGTTGCAGTCGTCCTGGGCCTGAGGGCTAAGGCAGGCAGGTTCTTGGGTTTGTCAGGCCTTCGGGCTAGCCCCTTGTGAAGTTTCGGGGGCACGGACTCGGACGGCAACTACAGTGTTTTGGGCTGGAGACTCTGACGAAAGTCTTGGAGTTGCGGACTAGACAGGCAGGTCCTTCGGCTGGTAGATTTTGGGAGCTAGCCCCTTGCGATGCTCCGGGCCGAAAGGCTAGGACAGGCAGGTCTTCGGGCTAGCCATTGCAAGGGTTTGGGCTGATATTTTTTTTGGCTCAACAGGCAGGTTCCTGGGTTGCCAGGGCTTCGGGGCTAGCCGCTGTAGTGGCTTGGGGTTAAACCGGGACTCGCTATTTTTACATTTTCATGGGGCGACGGACTTTCTTAGTGGGTGTACTGGGGGTTCCATTTTCGGTTCGCTGGTGGTTACGCCAGTCAATGTGGGAGTTGGTACTTAGCATACTGACAAGTCCTGCATATATGTGAGTCCAAACCTTACTACCTGCTTTTGCCTATTCATCGCTTTTCCTCACCGTTACTAGTTGTCAACAAAACGGATAAACTATGCAACACCGAATTTAGTTACGGGTGGGATTCACCATACTACTGCTTACGAATATCGGTCGCGTATTACGAAGATTGGATTTTAAGTACGCCCGTCACGTATGGAAGTTAAACTAACGACTATCACAGACGCAATTAAATCGGCCGTGCAATAAAATTCCCCACGGATACAAGTCAACTGGGCCTCTAATCTAACGCACAAAGGCTGCCACCCATATTATCGGGATTTCGAGTTTTGTACGTCATTGCAGCCCTGCATTTTGAAAATTCCCGCTAACTACATATGTGAAGCAGAAGTGGATGGATCGCTGAGGCTTGCGGTTGAAACTTGACGCGAGGATATGAATGGACGAGCTCTGGATACGAAGACAAAATATGGCCACCAGCTTTAAACCATTTTGAACAATGTATGTCATGGTTTTGCTGGTCAGCATCTATGCGCCTTCTACTAACTGGACAATAATGAAAGATTACGGTTACCATCGGTCTGTCGTTATCCTCTTCAACATGGCGATATACGATAGGCTGGCAAAAGGCAGAAGACGGGATTGAATTGGATCGATAAGAAATACAAGCTGTTGACTGAATTCATGCATCTTAAATCCAAACCACAATCAACAAAGTTTTTTGAATTATTATCACTGCACTTCAAACCCTGTTTGCTTTGAATTCTCTATAATAGAATGCAAAACTATTACCTTTACATCTCCATCACGCCAGTAAATCCTAGAATTCGGAAGCCTCAAAGAACGAAGTCTTACGGTTATTCATTTTTCCAGCTAATTAAAATCCATTAGAAGCCGTAAAAATGTATCATATGTGATTATAAACTGGAATTATTCTTCGGCATTAGGCAAACAGCCACTGACTTTATATGAGCCCAGAACAGTAAAACAGTGCTTCAGGATGTCGAGGCTGCCGGGAATATCGACGAAGCAAGTCCTACCAAAGTCAACCAAGCTCCATGACGAGCTTCACTATAATTACTCCTGAGACCAGCCACGAGAGCTCAGAGCGTCTGTGTAGGCACCCAGGCTTCCAAATTTTCATAAAGGAAGATCGAACCGGGGGTATCTTGTTTGATAGGGTTTGCTCGCCGTCGAGATACTTGCAAAGATTCACAGCCAGCGCCGGGGAGCTAAGCGGATAAGCACTCTGGCAAGGAATTGAATGGCCCACTCCATGAAACAAAGTAGCAACGACGTGAGGGGTTCGGCGCGCCTTATCTGAAGAGCACTGAGAAGCAGTAACTGAATTGAGGTGGGAAAGTTGCTGCATGGAATCTGTAACGATGAACGGAATAGATGGAATACGGCGTTCCGACTAACTAGTTAGTTAGTTATATCACTTTTGACTCGGGATTTCTTGCAGGTTGGCCTCCAGAGCATCTATATGTTGATTCCGCAGTCGAGGGCGATTTGAATATGGTCTTTTCCCGGAAGTACGTCCCATATAGGGGCTCAACAACTGCAATCATCCGCAGCCCCTCGAGTTTTCACAGCAGGCCGCTTTAGAACAGTCACTTCGGCCATATCTTGCCTTTGATGCTTTATCCTACCATGTTCTCTCAAATTCGGTGTTAGTCAACACGAATGTTGCACGTAGTTACAATCGGTGAACCACTTGGAAGCGTGGAGTGGGGGGTGTTTGACAAAGAGGAAACTGTTGTCATCTTGGACTTGTTAAAAAGGATACTGGCCTTCTGGCCGGAGAGCGACCAGCGGTTGATAAAGTTTTGAAATCAGGGTGGGTGGTTAAGTGGGTGTTTGCCTGGCTTGGAGCAGAGTTTGCAAGATAGTGTCCATCGCGAAGGCATCCAGAATGAGTGAGCGTAATGATCTGTACGGAAGGGTTGTTTAGCAGTGACTAATTGTAGTCACTTGACTAGCGGATAGAATGCGAGAGGTATTGAAGCAGGATCCATAGCGGTTTACCACGGATCACTCAGTATGTATACTTTGAACTATGGTAAGGATCAAAGCAAATTCACCACAGAATATAAACCCAACGCCGTGTTTTTAATAGCTCGCCAACGCCTGCTCCGGGCACCGTATCCAAAAACAAGGACAAGGATCTCCGCCGCGGATTATTGACTGAGTGATCCGGCTTTAGCTTTCTTCTTTTTACCCTTATCCTTTGCAGCTGTCGTGGGTTTATCATTGTGCTTTTCTACCTTTCCCTTCAAGGCATCTGATTGCATGTTAACCGATCGGGAAGAAGGGGTACCAGGTCTCCCAGGCCCAGGTGGTGCAGGGGTGCCTGCGACAGATTGAATATTCTGCCTTGGCGCATGTTCACGTGCGGTCACAGACAGCTGCTCCTGTGCAGGCGCTGCGGTTTTGGTGAATATGAAGGAACCTGGTTCGCCAACCAGTGGCGTTTCGTCTATGTACTCGTCTCCGTAGCGGGCGAGGAGGTTGAGTGTTTCTGCAAAGTTTCGGGCGTCTTGTAAAGCGGAGGCATTGAGCGCGGCAGAGGTTGATGTGGATGTGAAGGAAGATTTGGATGCTGTTTTATCTCCAGGGGTTTGTTGGAGGTCGGGCAATGGCGTCGTTTCTTTGCTCTGCTGGGTGGATTGTTGGCCGGGTTGCGATGGTTCTAGGGATTTTTGGGACGTGTGGGCGGTAGCTGTGCCGTAGGACGGGGAGAATGTGAGGAGGGGAGATGCCGTGGAGAGAACCTTTGTTAGAGAAGTGACAGTCGAGAGCTGCAATCACATTCATCAGTCAGCATCCGACTTTGCGCGAACGGGGAGAAAATCTGAGATCACGCACCATTCTCCTCCCAACCACGCTCCACACCGACGGGGCCATAAACACCGAGTCCCCCACAACAAAATATGTCGCTAGAATCTGCACATCGTCTTGCCCCCCGATCCCTCGCCTCCTCATCTGCTTCCTGATCACCCATACGTTTGACGCTTCCTTGGGCTGTTCACCACGCGCAACGGCCGCAGTATTCGCGGCTGCAACCTCCAGGAGCGGATCGCGCGCAACAATGAACTCGAGCCCTTGCATAGTCTTCAACCTTCCTTCAAATGCTTCGCGTGTCTCGATGAAGGGTCGGAAGTTCTCGTTATGCATGGCCTGCAGGGCGAGGGAGGCATTGTTAGAGGTAGGATCGAAAAAGGGCGATTCTGCAAAGTAAAAAAGAACTAAACCAATCGTTAGTGAGGTGTTGGGCTGAACGAAGGAATTGCAAATGGGCAGGCGCTCGTGTACTGTTGTTGGAGTGGATGAAGCCACCCATCATCTGGATGTGATGCGGGGAATGCCATGTTATTTCCTCCAAAGCCACGTCCGGAGAGGGCTCCATCTCTAAAAGACGAGAATGAACAGTAGGGTATGCCCAAGGCCCGCTCCCTGCTGGGGGTTGATACGGCTTGATATCTGCCATTTTGAAAGAAGATGTCGACTTTGGGGGATGTTTGATTTGTTTGCAGGCGTGACGTCATTGCCGCGGCAAGTCAGGGGTCAAAAGTTCAGTCGAATGAGTATGAATATCATTTAGGTTGCATCTTTCTCTACTCCGTAGTACAATTGTATCCAGAAGCCAAAGGCCTGCAAAAAGCGCTTCAAATGACCGCCCACACATGCTCCCAATACATCTATCCCCGCGCTATTTGCCCCGTTTGATAGCACAAGCAATACCTGACTCCCTAGGGGACCCTAAAAGAGTGTTGTCCGCTGGAATTTATCAACTTCCTGCAGGCACACCATTGCCGCTATCCATTTGAAGCTCCTGAGCACTTCCTTATTTCGATTCCTTATTCGAGGCTCATTGTCACGCAAAGCGCAACAGAAACAAGCAATCGAGCGTTCGAGAGCATCTCCTCCGCCGGATCCGCGGTCAACGATCATGTCAATGGTAAAATTGACGAGTTCTTGGTAGTCTATAAGATAAAGCAGTTAGTATAACCCGTTAAATAGCTGTCGAGGTTTGGGTTTTGGGATAATATACCATCCCGCATAGCTCGAGATGCTTCTTTGTCACGACGAGTCTGTTTGCTGTTCTGTCCAAGGATGGATCCGACAAAGACTTCAACCTCCGTAAGAGAACTCTTCCAGGGCGTTTTGGAGTACTGCTGCATGATTTCCCGGAGATTGTCCTCGTAACTATAGATATTGGAGGTTAGCCAGTAACTTTCAACTGATCGGATTACAAGAGATAGAGTTGCCATACATCTCCTTTGCCTTGCGGCCCTCGTCCATGAGATGGTCCCACTGGAACCCTGCCGTTTCGCTTGCTACATAATCCCAAATACCGCGAAGTACCGTGCTGTCGCTTCGAATAAGCTTGCTCGATCTTCGGAGCTGATCCAAGAACTCTTGCTCGTCAATGTTGCGGTACAATACCCCAAGAATCCTATTGCTTTTGTAGTAACTTCTGCGCCGCCCTTCATCATCGTCATCATCTTCATCGAGCAAATATTCAGCTTCCTCGACAACCTCAACATTATCCGCAACGCGAATGCGCGGGTTTGGCGCCATGAAGTCGGGATAGTAGCGTGGATGCCGTGGAATTCGAGTCAAATCAACCTATAATCGAAATCAAAAGATCAATAGAAGCCCTATAGTAGACCAGAAGGATGGGGAAAAGTCCACCGCTCGGGTCTCTAGATTTGGATCATCGCTCCTCAGTATTCTAAAAAGATAAACGCAAGGAAATTCTAGGTTGGGATTATCCTAGCTTCCAGAGGCTCGAGTTCATAAAAAATGTAGAGGATAGCAGGAATTTAGGCAAGGGCTCGGGTTTTTCCATATTCGGGGTCGTAAACCAAATAAACGCTTACCGGAATGCCACTTTTAGAAAAGTCCACTGCGGTTGAATGTAGTTCCGCAAGGAGCAAACAATCTTGATCCAAAGTGCCTTCGATCTTTTGATCTGCAAGAGCTTGGTGTATAGTTGCGATGCGCCCCAACTGGTCTTGCTCCATAAAAGTAACGAAAAAGTCGATAATGTCATCTCTAACGACACGACGATTAAGTAGCTTCTCCTCAACTCTAGGATAATCTGCAGGCTCAATTGTACGCCGTGGCATTAAGCGCTCGTCGTAAATAATGTTATAAAGGTCGCCATCCAGATCGCCTCCGCTTAACATACTCGGTAGATCACGCTGTCCATGTTGGCTGAAAACAACGCAATTATGCAACTTGCGCAACGGCGATGTAGCCGGCACATCAACGGCGTTGGCAAACTGGACGTCCCCAGGATGCAAAGCAGGCGAGCGCGTGACTATAATGCGATCACGGACGAGAATTTCACGGACACCGCCTTCGGTTAGGAATGTGCAGAAAATTTCTCCTTCTTTCAGATATCCGGATTCATCCATGATACCGTAAAGTGTGACTGCATTTGGCACTCTGATACGTGCTCGATACTTTAGGTCGCGCATTTTGAGAAACACGGCCAGTTGGATAACTGAGCGCAAGAATGGATCTTGGTCATGGTGAAGTTCGAGCCCACGTATAACTTGAATGAGCCAAGGGAGACGTACGCCCTGTGCGATATTGGTCTGCTCTAAGAATTGTCCCGCCTTGATGACGGATTTTTCAACCGAGCGTAGGCGATCGATCTCATCGGTCTGAAGATCTATGAAAGCACTTGGTCTGACACCCAAATCTTCCAATACTTTGATAAGCTGTGCATTTAGATAGAATGGTAGAGCCCGGGTTCCAGATCCACAGATTTCGATATTGAAAGCGCCTTTAGCTTTAAATTTGATCATAGATTCCCTTAACTTCAATTGATCTCCTTTTAATCGGGAATCGAGCGATACCATGCCTTTGGCCCCTAGAATGATGCAAAAGACAGTATTAGCCGTGGGATAACACGGAAAAGTTGAGGGCAGAGAATTACCGGCAAAGCGTATCTGAAATATCGTGGGCTTGACCCTTTCCCGAAGAGCGTATTCTTTCCAAATCTTATACATAATTGACGGGGACATTGTCCCAACTCCATCACTAAACACCCGTCCATTCCGCTTGATATCAGGCTCATCAAAGTAAACAGCATCTTCAGGGATTTTAATGGAAGATTGAGTCTCTGAGAACGTTTGCCCAATCCTCGCTGCCAGTTTTGACGGAGAATAAATATGATCAAACGATCCAAGCCCCTGAATGATACTTTCCACATCAAATCGCTCACCAGTATTCGTTATAAAGGGCGCCACAAACCAGCAAGTTTGGCTTCGTAGAGAGGAATGGGAAAAGCCAAGGAAGCTGAAACGGCGTCCACCGATTTGGATTCCGTTTTTTAAAACACCTTTGAAGCGCTGGTAAAATATCTCCTCCAGTGACGCCTGAGGGTCATAATAAACACGGTCGCCATGCTCATCCACAAATTCAACGCGAAGAAAGTGGTTGATGTGGTTATCATATTGACGCAGAACACGGTTCTTCGTTTCAATATTTGGACCGTAAAGGTATATTCCGCTAGGAGTAACCTGCGTTCTGTTGACTTTAACGTTGTTGGGATGTGTAAGATTCCGACTTGCTTCGTTTTGGGAGAGTACTCTTTCAATCTTCTCCAGCAACAACTCTTCCAAGGCGTTGATATCGACGTCTCTCTCATGTGTATCAGGACTAGGGTATTCTAGGCTGGAAATCATCTTGTTGAGGCCTTCGGCGACAATTTCGTCCCCATGAATGCCTGCCAATTGTTTAATGCAAGGGTAAAATCGCAACATTCTCGTAGGACTAATATCTCCGTTCCAAACAAACTTCGCGATTTGGAACTTCAGTATGAATGAAATCGGCCAGCCTTCTAGGTAGTACTCAAAGTGTGCCTTGACCAGGCTGAAAGAATCGCTGCAGGCCACGCGCCGGTCGACCCATCTGCCAATCGGCGGAACATGCTCAAGACCATGAAGATTTCGAATAGCAGAGATATCTCGGCTGTCAAGTAGTTCGAATCGATACGTGAAACAGATACCCGAAGCTCCGTCGTGATCCCCGCCAAAGTGTCCCACTCTTCGCCTAGTCGGAATATATTTCTTCATCGCCTTCGCTGTTTGAGCTTTCATTTTTTCCAGGGGATCAGATATGTAAAATCTCGGGGCGGTATTAGTTAAAAGTGTCAGGGATGCTTGCTGGGCTGTGCCGATGTGTACACTTCGGATGATCGAGTACGCAAACTCCAGATAGTAGTCAGTCAATGGAGCAACATTCGTCATCGTGACTCGAAATAATGATTTGCCGAAGACCACCTTTCCAAACCCTGGGCATCGATACACCTCCACGAAGACCGGGTGCCCAAGTTGATAGTCCCAATAGCCACAAGACATCGTGTTGACGTTGAAAGACTTGGGTCGATTGGCACGAGTACTTGTAGCGGAACCGCTGCCAGTACTGCCAGCATCGGACGCTGGGGCTCGAGGGATAAATGTTCCGTTCATCGTCACCTGAAACACTGGTCTTCTCTGCTCCGCAAGTCGCCGTTTTTCTTCTTCAAACTTCATCGCACGGAGGGCAAACTCGTCCGGCTCGTTTCGTGCCTTTACCAGATAAATCGGCTGATTAAACAGCTTCAGCAGTATGGCTGGCTTCCTTTTTCTCTCCTCATCTTGCCCATGCACATCCAGGAGTTTCTGGGCCTTGTGGAGATCAAGGATGGTAAGGAAAGCATTTTTCTTTGCTGCTCTCCGACAAGTAAACGTGGTAATTCCGAATTTCGCAAGCACCGGAGTAAATTCTCGTTTTAGATGCTTATCCTGGACTTGCTCAGGGATATTGCGGCAGAAGATCTCCATCTCACGTCCTCGTCACTGGGTGGAATCGATCAAAAGAGAGTAGGTCGGGCAGCTGAATCGTAGTAGACTGAGTCCGTACTCTTGATAGGACACGTTGGAAAAAATATCAAAAGAAGATAGAGAAAGAAGCCGGATGCAGAGAGGAGTTTGGAAATATATAGCGAGCTGCGGGACTGGCTGGACTCAGCACCTCATCTGACCAAATGGGCGTGTTCGGCCACAGTGACGGGAGATTCCGCGTATTTGCAAGCTTCAGGCCGATAAGACGCCTGCTTGGATGGATTAAAGAGGCCGTAACATGCACTTCTGGTGAAGAAAATAACCGTTTGCGCAAGGAAGAGAGAAAGCCGCAAAGAGCAGAGTGGGCTGCTCATCCAGAAGATGAGGGGAACACCAAGTGCCCAACGACCACTCTCTCTCCACAGCAGTCCCCAGCAGTGATTGTTTGCAGACTGCACAATGAACAGGGCTTCTAATGTTGTGCCAGAACCTGCGGCAGTGGGCGAGGGAGAAAGATAAGTTCTACGATTGTTAGTACAATTTGACTTTTGCAGGCTTCTTCAGCAACAACGTCTGGCAACATCGCAAGTTAACAGAATGTATCTTAATATCTATCTCGCATGCTGTGTCTACAGATATCTTTCCAGACAGACTCTTCAACGGAGCAGCCTTCACGCAGAACAGCTTCAATTAAGATAAGAATACATGCCTCGAGTCTTCAAAAATCGCGAAACAAACTACTTCCAACGGCGTGGGTTTGAATGTATAAAAAGGCATCAGAGCAACCCTTCATTTTTCGCTTTTCCTCTTGACTTTCCGGTTGGACCTGCTATTCTGCCGGTCCTCATTGGAACCTGGAGGAGCTGTGGACAGCGGCGAGCCTCTTCCAACAGAATGGCCTGATTCAAACAATGGCTTCAAGTTAGGATTCTTCGCTTCACCCCCCGCGCTGACCTCAGACCGCGGTTGAAAAACCTGCAGCACAGTGTGCAAATTGGCTTGAAATTCAGCCCAAATCCTTTCTGGAGTGGCTGCAGTCGACACTTGGGCACCAGCTCCAATCCGCCACACTTGTTGGCGCTTGTCTCCCTCAAACCAGCTAAAAGCCGCGCGCGAGAGAGCGCAGAATTCTCCGCCGCCCCCAATATCTAGATATCCAACGACTCCCGAATAGACGCTCCGTGGTTGCCGTTCCACACTTTTTAGAATTGTACAGCCGTGTCTCTCTTCGCTAGCCATTGAAACTAGAGGGAGAGATCCGCGGAGCTTCCAGATACCTTCATTCGGGCAACTAGTGTCCTCTTCAGTCTTTGCCATCTTTTGACCCGATTTCTCTGCTGTAGACATGGGAACCAGTGTTGTCGTTTGATCTTCCTGAACCTCCTTTCCGCGCTCCATTTCCCCGCTGCTGGTTTATGTTTTCGTGATCTGAAGCTACAGCCGTTGTGAGTCTTTCAAATGAGTCGCTGAGGGCTTTGAGATGAGGATCATCAGCCTTTGCTCCACTAGATTCTGCGGGTTTCACTTCCACTTTATGGGCTCTATCCCACTGAATGTGTCTCTCGAGGGAGCTGCTGATGACCCTGACCTTTTCCAGACCAACATATGCACTATAAGGGCCCGGAGCCAACTTAGCGAGCTGTTTGTACAATATCCAGGCCCGCAGCTTTAACCACCCGTCATCCTTACAGGCTGGTAGCTTGATCACTGTCTGGTCGGCCAGATGAAGTTCGCCGGGGTTGCTAGCCTCAAGATATTGCTTGCATCGTGAGATTTTTTGAGTGTACCGGGCCTTATTGGGAGTTACAATTTCCGAGTGTTCCACCACCATGTTTGTCAATTCATCCTGAGAGTACTTCATCCGGAGGATATTGTTCGCTCTCTCTGCAGGTGTTTGCGAAGTTCCCGTAAGTTTGAAGAGAATGTTGTTTAAACCTGGATGCTTTGAAAACTCCACGAGTCGGCGCGCCGTTGAATCGAGCCATTCGTCATCTGACCTGCGAATGGACTGAATGAAGATCTCTCCCGTTTCATTGTTGATTACTATGCTTCTCTCTGTCCACAAGAAAACCGCGTCGTATTCCTCATCGTGAGTGGGCTTGACGTTGATTTCCCATTTGTCAATGCACATTTCGTACGAGAAAAATCCCAAGAAGCCGCCCCAAAATGGTATTTCTGGATGGCCACCGGTGGCCTTACTTCGGTCTATAACGAATCTCAGAGCATCGAAAATCTCAACGCCAATAGCGTCCCACGCGTCTTCCTGCACGGGGCCGGATTTGGGCTGTGCGGCTTTTCTAACAAGTGCAACGCCTCCCATGACGGAATATTCGAGCGTCCACGATCCGTCGCTAACCACAGGGATAATACTATATCTCGGAGTTTTGATAAGAAAGTTTTGCGAATTTGGCACACCCATCACTTCACATATCGATTCAGATTCTAGATTTTCGAGCTTCATGACCCGGTATAACACCTTGTTAAACGGGGCGCACCACTTGCGTAGCCCACGAGCAACCTTGTTCTTCCTCGTGTCCACAAACATTCCGGTCGGACATAGACTGATATGCGGCTTGACAGCTTCCCACCAGTTTTTCAAAATAGAATCCACAATTTTCCAAGATTTAGAGGTTTCTATGCAAAGTTGGACGGCCCAAAGAGGTTTCGACTTGTGGCGGGCGGCCATCAACTTTGAACTGTTGCTTTCTGGCAATGGACACCACGCAAGAGGAACAAGGTTTGGGCATTGACTGCTCGGCTCCCAGCGCTCGGGGTGGTCGGTATCTGCATCCGGCTCTTCCATCGGGTGTCGTATTTTGGCATCCGAAGCCGTTTGTGTGATCGTCATCGCAAACTCCTTGATGTTCGTGAAGATATCGGTTGCGGAATGCTTAAATATTGTTCTCGTGCGAGGTACTGGGTCCGCAAAGAGCTCCGATTCGCCGCCATGCAGGATAACGAAGGGGTGAAAGCTTTTACCAAATCCGAGGAGTGGCTTCTCAACACGCCAAAGATGGAATATAATGCCTCCTACAGCTCGGTGGTGAGGCCCTGGGCCCGTCACGATGGCATCATATGCCAAACAGTGGTTGACGATATCTTCGAAGTCTAGATATGTCTCTGGATGCCATACTTCAACAAGCGCGGGAAGCTCACGCCTCAGCAACGGAACAAGGCTTTCTCCTTCGCATGATGCAAGATATAGAATCTTGACCCGCCGAGGATTTAGGTTGAGAGACATTTTGTCCTTTCGAACCGTCGCGAGCTGGCGTCCGTAGTCGTAAATGTTTGTAAACGGACAGAAGTCAAGTAGTTTGTCGAATAGGAAGAAAAGCTGAAACAAAAAATAAACTTAATACAGGCCCGAGGGAGGCTTTGAACAGCAGATAGGTGTAGGGTAAACGACAAGTAAAATATATGGCAGTATATTATAAATGTTAGCTCTCAAGCCCGGCAATGGTAGGAGGCCATCACGCCAAAAGAAAGCGATTCTCTCATGCCTTAATATATGCAGTATTTTCGGTAGAAGGGAAGCTGCGCCCTGCCTGCATCTCGAAGGTCAGAAAGTGCAGACATCAGGAATAGCAAGCCCAATTGTCGTGCCACACTTTCCATGGTGCAAGCCGTGAAACCGCAGTAGTCCCGGCTCTGCATCAAAATCCTCAACGCTGAAATAGATCCTAGACACTCTAGTATAGTTATTAGAAGACGTCAAAGCCCAATAATTATTGCTAATTGCTGACAGTTGCCATCTGGCTAAATTGTTAAACGCCAACCTTCTCCGTAACCTATCCAACATCTAATATACCTAGTTGCGTGATTATTCAGGGGTATCTCAGAAGCTCTATCGCCTTGTGGCACGGATTGCGGAAAACCAGTAAATCCTCAATGAGCCAACATTCCTTCCCAAAAATCAACCAATCGCTCGATAAGACTGTAATTTCGCTGCTACTCCAGAAAAGTACTCCATTACAAAACTTTCACTATAAAAATGAAATTCTTGTTAGCAAAAACCCCGAAAACCAAAACCAAAAATAACAACAGGAGGGGGTAGCTCACGTATAATAGCTGTGCTCGGAGTTATGGGCCTGTACAAGGTTATGGGCGAGTTCATGACAGAAAATTGTCCACCAATACACCAGTGTGTCCGCTCGATTACCTTCCAGGACTTTAGCGAAGTGCAGTTGTTGAAAATAGTGATAATTACAGAATATGCTTCCCCGATAGTTGAAGGCGATAGTCTTGCCGTTTGGCTCGGAGAAAATACTGACACTATCTTTTCGAACCCCGAAGATGCTGATACAATCGAGCAGAATGCCGGCAAATTTGTTAAGAGCGACTTCGTTTTGCTTGTAGAACCCGGATGGCTCTTCGTGCGAACGAGGGAGGAATAATCGAAGGGATGTTCCAGCTATATCGCTCGCATGAACTAAATCATGACCAGGGCGTTCATCGCAGTACGACTTTGCGTCCGAAATCTGAGTCACTTGCCCTGTACTTTGAATTGGAGCTTGTCCATGCGGTCGACACCGTGTAATGGCTGTTTCCAGATTTTGACGGAGCATACTAGGGGAGACGTGACAGCCTGGACCCGGATTGTTGGTCGTTTTCCCTGGATAGGGAGGCGGAGGTGTATCAGGCGTACGATCTCCAAGGGCCGTGGTATTACCTCGGAGTAGTTCGTCTAAGCCAAAACGGCGACCAAGGTCGGAGATAAAACCGCCCATTCCTCGATCATTAGTTGAAGGCGGCTGCGATGAATCCTCGCTCCGGTTTGGTAGTGAATTCGAAATGAAATCAGGGAATACGCCAGGCATGGGGTGAGGATTTCCGTCCACAGCTTCTTTCCCCTCTCTCTGACGTCTCTCCTGTTCAACCTCTTGAAGTTTTCGCTCATCCTTGATTTGCTGCTGCCGCTGGCTTTCCGCCATTTTTGCTGCTGCAGCCTTCTGTCGAAGAATTCTCTCCACGTTGTAGCCTCTAAGACGAAGCTCAAGCAGATCTGTTTTCAATAACATTTCCAGCGTGAGAGTGGAATGTAGTTTGGGTCTTAATAGAATGATGTGGACCAAAGCCTGGCTGACTTGGTAGAAGTTGACATCCCCTAGGGATATACACAAAATAGGATTTGAATTATTTTGCTTTTGCGATATAACCGCATTCCGTTTTTCAACGTGGCCACCATTGCGCCCGCGTAGTGAGCGACGTAATGATATCGATTGCACAACCTGAATCGTCAGGTGATTCTCGAGCCATCTAGCATCGTGTTTTATCACTTCTTTGGGAAGATCGTGCAGAAAGATCCGCGTTCGCTCGCATATCTGTTTTTGTAACTTGGCGGCAGTACGCTGGTCTGGGGCAGCATAGCCACACCGAACATCTTCCACAACAATGCTGCTCAGATTCGGAGTGCCAAGCTGAATGTACATGTCTTCCAAGGTCTCCTCCTGAGGTGCAGCCAGTATGTTCTCCTTGAATAAGCTAAAGCTAGCATAATCATCAACAATAACAGCATCTGCAGCCCTGCTCAGCTGCCATTCTTTGACCGGCATTTCCTCCTCATCATTCAGGTCGTCGGTACCACTGCCCGCTTTCGCGGCCAGTTCTTTGCTTGCAAGTAGGAAACCCGCCTTTTTCATTTCCTTAAATAGATTTCGATCTTTTCTGATCTGGTCCATATTGTCTGCAATACCCCGCAACAGTTTCAAGTACTTGTCTGGGCTTTGAAGCCGAGCAACAATCTTAGCGGAATCTTTCACGAGCATGTTGGCAAGTTCAACGGTGGTGGGCTCCCTCTTGGACCCACAGGCGAGAAGAAATAGATTGGCTTCAGCGCTAAAATCCACAAAATCAAAAATGTTGCTGTAGTCATCACTCTCACCAAGGTAACAGTCTCGTGGTGCAATATAGGTCAAAGCGGGCTGCTGGTGTTTGTCGTTGAATGCAGGCTCGCGAGCCAAAGGGACAATCGGCGCACTGCCGATGCGATGGAGTGTCGAAGTGTTGATTTCAGCAAGCCGCCCAGCAAAATATCCAAAAAGTTGTTTGGCCTGTTTTGTAGACTGAGGGGGTTTTCGAAGCAGGATATTAACACAATCCTGAATTGGAGGATGCGGTTTTACTCCAAATTTAGAAGCATGAGGCTCGAGATCCTTTCTGATCAGCTTGAACCCCAGAAGAGAAGCTCCCCTATCCGTGAAACATTGGGTAGGAGTCCCGTGGGTTCCATCCTCCAGTGGAAGGAAGGGAATGTCGACCGTCGCATATTCGAAATTCGCATATCCGTTAGCCACATGCGCACTGATAAAATAAGCTAAAGCTTTATCTCTTAAGTTGAGATTCTGATCAGGTATTGTTCGGGCAATCAGCTTAATCAGGTCTGAAGCAGAAGGAAAGCTCCTGAGACCCAACAGTGTCAAGAACCGTGCTTCTGCGCCCCCAGCTGGGTACTGTCCAGGCCAATACAACATGGGCAAGCATAATTCCCTTAGTGATTCCTTTGGTTCAAAGAGTTCACACACTCTGTATCGCTTGTTCGATGTAGTGGATGCCTCAGCTGTGCATATTTTAGCCTGCTTCAGCTTTGCAATATCGCTGTTTGGGATATCATTGCGAACGGAGGTGAGATATTTGATCAGCTCAACATGACTCCACTGGGGCTTATGAGAATTAAAATTATTCTCTTTGGTGTCACCGGTGCCGCCGAGAAGCCGGTCGAAAATAACATTGAGATCAACTGTTTTCCGGACTCCAAGAGCCACCAAAACTTTTTCTTTCACATTGGCAAGACCATTGACTACGGGGAGGTCTTCAAACAAACGTACAGAAGGGAAATAGGCTTCGGAGGGCTTTTTCATCCCTGACGGTGTTGGTATAACAGCATGTTGTTGAAGTAGGCTTATGACAGCCATCCTCGACTGTGGGGGTAAGTTGTCCCATTGCTTTGAAACGACGGGCAAAACGCGAGCTGAAAATGACGCCGAGCGAGTTATCCGTTGCTCTTGCGGGAGTAAAGCTTTGACATCACTATCAATTAGCCAGCTGATCCAATTGTCCATCCGCAACTCATGCCAGCCTAAAGCAACAAGCTGGTCAGTCTGCAAAGTTTTGGAGTACTTGAAGGGGATAACAGATGGAGGCATTGGTAAATCTGCTGGAATTCGAGACGGGTTGAGAAATTCGGTTATATCCCTTAGCAAAAGGAGCCCACAGGGTACTCCGTTGGATTCGTCGTTCGCTACCACAACACCGAGCAAAGTACCGATTGTGGCTCGGTCAAATTCAGCACTAGTCGCCTTTTCTGAAAGCCAGGAAATAAACTCGGTGAGCTGGTTAGAACTTAGCGGTTTCGATTCCAGTTCCTTTTTGATGTCGGACACGGTAATGTCAGTGATAAGCCCGAAATCAATCAATCTGGTTATAAACTCCTTGGACCGAGACATAAGAGCGTCTGGGACAACAGGTATGGAGTCCATAAAACTTAAATTTTTCGGCGCAAGGCGGATTTTATAACTCGCGAGTACTCCACAAGTCGACAACAGTTCCAGGTACGCGTTTTGGCTACATGTCCAGAACGAGTTCTCAATGATATGACCAACTTGGGTGGCCGGCGTAGATTCGCGGAACACAAATTGATTACAGATATGGGCAGCTTCTGGAACTATTGGTTCAATATCCTCTAGTCGGGGTGCCGATCGTCCGGCGCGTGCCATTTGTGAGGAAATTCGATCCTTGACAGTAACCATTTCCGCAGCCCAGGCGATTCTGCATGCGATTCCGGCGGCCCGTAAAAGCTCTGCATTCCATGTACGCACCCAGCGAGCATTAAGATCAATGCTTTCTCGTTCAACGGTCGGAATTATGGAGGGAGCCGATATGTGAGCGCTCAAACCAGTGGTCTGGTGGGTTGGAAATCCAATGTAAACCCTACCGGACTTGGAGGGCAAAACTGTAGCAAAGATAGGCTTAGCAACCAACTCGCCTGCCCCGGTTGATGTTTGCATAGAAGCGTATGAAGTGGTTAGTATTGCAAGTGAAGTAGTCTTTGGTGCCGGCTTTTTGGTTGCGCGGAGCAATTCTTGTCCAAACGACTGACCTACCGAGGTCTGTATTTGCGCAGTGCTAATGTGGAAAAATACGGAGGATGAGCTGGTTGAGATTAGGTCCGCAGACAAAAGAGCCTGGGAATCTTTGTTGTGTTCTGACGGCTTGATAGCGGAATTGCCACCGGCGGCCCGAGTCAAACGAGAAAAAAAGCTCCGAAGCGAGCTCGTGTTATCTTCCCCCCGAGCTACCTCGAAACGGGAAGAATTTGTAGGGGGTTTCCATTCAATCGCAGACATCCAAGTGGCATCGATCTGGGCAACCTCTCGTGTAACATCCTTTACTTTCATTAAACCCTCAGAGGTTTTTGTCTGGACATCCCTCGGTATACTGATGCTCATCTTGGGGGCAATCTTTTTCGCCAACTTTAATAGATTCCAGCCATCTAACCACAACTCTATGCGTTCGACTCCAATAAATGTAAGACTGCTTGCAAGGAACTGGCATAGAGTCAAAAGTGCAGGTACAGGCGTAGTAGTGTTCCGATACTCCAAGACGAAAGTAGTTTCTGGAGTACAATCCTGTTCCTGAAGTTGCAGCCGTCGAGTGAATAGGGAATTCCCTTTCCAGTAGAAAGCAATGGCATCTTTTCCGGAAGACACAAAAGGTTCTTCGCAGTCAGAGAACACACTGTAAAACCCAACGCCAAAGGCTCCGATCTTTGTTTCATCCGGATTCCCCTCTGCGATCCGTTTTAACCGAGACCAATCGTTGGCACTGAAAGGAACACCATTGTTCTTGAGGATCAGGCTTTTCAGTGTATGGTGCGATATGACATGCTTGATGGCTCCAGTTTCGTCATCTATGGATGGCGCTGGCACCGTGGTTGAAGGTGTGGTTTCGAGTTTTATCGTAACTTGCGTGGCTGAGGCATCGGCGGCGTTTTGAAGGAGCTCTCTGAGGACAGTCCTGTATTGCACGTTAGGAAAGCGAGCACACGGAAACAAGGGGAAACGCAGTCTGGAGAGCTTCATACCATTCCCCTGAATATCTGGCCAATACCTTATCTATCAAGGCACGCGTGTTAACCGTCACAGCCTCCTCGTCGACCCCAGAGTCGATCGCCCGAGCCTTCAAGGCGTTGAAGTCAATATTGCCGGCCATAGCTGTATCGCATGGTAATGATCTAGCTCCGCTAGGTAAAGGCTGAAGAGTTAAAAGAGAGTGAAGGCCAATATACTCCCTAGCTCCAACAGCAATAGATAGGGCGTACGGATGTTGATGAGCGGGCCAAGCGGAGCATTTCAGGCAGTGGGAAATACAGTTGAAAAGGTACGACAGGCAGAAATACCCCTACCGCCGTCAGAATCCCTCGTCCACCGAGACATCAATGCAAAGAATGACGTTCTGGTCGGATTCCGCAACGGAATGTGATGCTCTTGTGAAGGATGGCGGTTTTGGAGTTGTATCACTAGGGTATTCCCCGCCAAAATGCCATGGGTGGTAAAACCAGATCATTACACCTTCGGTATTGCTGGTCGGAGCAAACAAGCCATTGGTGCAGTTTATTTCGCTCTCCGTAGTCTAAGGTTGACCCTGGTCTTGGCATGTTTGGCAAATCGCCCAGAGATTCACCGGTTGGGAAATCCATTGGTCTCGGGGAGAACGACATATCATGCGACTTACGGTTTATGATACGGACTTCCATGCCTGGTTGGAATCTTACTATTTAGCTACATGACAAGGAAAGCTCGAAAAAGTCCATCTGCAGCGGCAGCCCTGGGTTTGTCACAGTTCACCACCGCATCTCCATCCTCCAGATGTTACGATGGCAGTTGACCCTATTTCACCGATCGCGCCGGCGCGCTTACGCACTCTATTGCTTCCCATAGGGAGGATCAGACGATCTCGGTTCTTGGAACTTGTCAAACGGCTTCAGGCCCAGAACGTGGTTCGGTTGGGAGACGTGAGTCCCGTCGGCTGCCCTAATAGAAGTACGCCCAGGGCTCGGATATATTGAGCTAGGCCCCTTGTTTGATTGTAGCTTTTACTGACTTCTCACAAACAATAGATACCTTCTCTCCGCTCGCTTTCCCTTCTGGCATGATCATCTTTGACCTATCGATTTCGGTACCCCCGACCTCCCATCTCGACCTCTTTCCTTTCGAGCTTTTTCGAGAACCCCTCGCCATTTTAGCAATTGCCGATGGGAAGGAGCTCGCTGTGTCGCAAGAGGGTAATGGATCGTTATTGGAGGCACAGGTCAATGGAGCTTCAAGGCCCCAGCATCCCTCTCCTCCCGGATTAGATCATCTTGTCGCAGAGTTGGCTGAATTGAAAGGCAGTTACCCCAGGTCACTTGTCCAGCAACTACTAATATTCGACCATGAGGGTGTCAATAACCTTGTGCCCGGGCCCGAAAATGTGATATGGGTGCCTTCTCCGGTAGCATCCCGAACGACTACGATAAAAACCCTAATGTGCGATGTATCTTCGCTATTACTTAAAGAGCTAGGCCAGCTCGCGGAGTCGATGCAAGAATGGCCCAGCATCGAATCTCCAAAAGCATCATCGTGGGGCCCGCGTCGGACTGTTGACTCCCGTCCCGCTGATAAACTTAGACACCGCATGACCATGCCCGCACAGTTACCGTCACAGCCCACCGCGCCGACTAGTCATCATTCAGACACCGAACTCACTGCTCACGTACACGACTCGCCAACCACCTTCGAAGAAATTACACGGTCAATCCAGCTTGCTAATCGAACAACAGCCGCTTTAAAATTCAACTCCAAGCCTGGATCTAAGGAGCATAGCCGTGAGCGAATGTCTATGCAAGGGCTTGCGAATCTCAATGAGCGGTCAAAGACTCGGTTTCACGCTCGTTTGAAAGTTGTGGTCGGGTTTCTACACCTTCAAGCAGGTATATGGCCTGAGGCTTTGAAAGAACTTGTTGAAGGTGCGACTGCTGCAAGGACCGGAAGCGATTACATCTGGCATGCAAAGGCGTTGGAGGGAATTTTGATTTGTTTGCTATTGCATGGTTGGATTGGCATGGATTTCCAGGTATGATTATATTCCCACATCGGTAACTTGTTTAACTGATCATCCACAGATACCCCAAATTTGTTTCCCGTCTACCGACAAATCTGTATCAAAACTTCTCCCAGCAGCAGGTCAACCGGACTCTGGAACAACTTCAGAATCTAAGGAGGCTTGTTTGAAAAACTTGGCGATTATTCTGACAGACATTTCAAATTATATTCTGAATCTCTATAACCGAGCATCCAATATCACCGATGAACCACTACCTCAATTTATTTATTCTGAAACTACGATACGACTCGCAAAACTCTTAACGACCGCTTATGTTCGAGATGGATTACTTGATAATAATGGCTTGAAGCATATTGTAATGAATCTCCCTTTGGAACCTATCCGCATTTCAGACCGCCCACGGGGAAACATGATGTTCCGCAGGACCGAGATAGCGTCCTTCTTATTTCAGGCTTTACCTCCGTCTCCTGGTACTGAAATCCCTGTCACAGATTCTGTCCAGATATACGTTGGTATGGCCGCTGTCTTATCAGGATTGGGATTGGAAAGGAAACGTGGTTTTGTTTTAAGGGAGCTTCTAACGACCACGATAACTGGACTCGTTCAGGCACGCAAGCTCGGAGCTGCTGAAATGGGCATACATCCGGCTGCTGGCCTATCTGCACTCAACAATGAAGCCTTTGACTTAAATGCCTTAGATGCCGGCTCAGGCAACACTGAGGATAGCATGAGAAGTGTATTGACATTGGTCACTTCAACGTATGGTGCAGCGTCGGCTATAAATCACAAGGACGACAGGCCTAGTTCGGGTAACACTGAAGAACAGTCAAAGTATGACTTTGTCGACTCGATCATTGAAAGGGCCAAAAGCGACAGTACTTTAGCGTCCTATGGGGATATTGCGCTGAAGGTTGATATCTTTAAGGCTTGTATTGATTTTTGCGAGGCTCTTCCAGATTTTCGAGGTGTTCTCCAATTCACTGTTGGATTGCTTCGAACTATCAAAGGGAGCGTTATGCTCACGCCAACCAATGACAACACTCTACCGTTTTTGGCACCCGAAGAGCAGGTACGATTCTACAACAATGTCAAACGCACTGTTGGAGCCGCGAATCGACTTGGACATCCCAACATGGAGGCTGAATATTGGGATGATTTTATGGTACGGAATGTTGAGATTCATGGCACTGCGGATGTTAAGCAGCCCATGCAACGATCGAGAAAGGAATTCGGAATATCAACTGTCAGCGAAGAGCGTGGCAATAAAAGCCCATTCATATATAGTGCGTTTTCGAAGGCTGCGATCCGCCGTTCAGAGTCCTTAGTGATCGCTGGCGAGCAAAGCGCGGTCAAAGTTGTGCTTCAAAATCCATACGAATTCACCGTTGAAGTTGAAAGCCTTATATTAGAAGGGCGGGGAGTTGAATTCGAAGCTCAACTGCACGGGTTTTGGCTCCGGCCGTTTTCTCTAGAAGAAAAGATTGTCCCACTGCGTGCGATGTCTGAAGGAACCTTAGAAATCACGGGCTGCGTCGCCAAAATCAAATTTTGCCGACGACGTTACTTTCCGATATTCAAAAAATTCTGGAAACCCGGGTACAAGCCCAAACTCAAGCGAACCGGATTGGCGGCTAAGGATCTCGCATCTGAAAGGCCTTTATCTTGGGGTTCAAATCAGTCTGGCGTTGCGAGCGTTCCCGTCGAAACAGGTCCCGAACCGGATCGCGTGGCTATCAATGTGGTAAAGGCACAACCGCTTGTAGAGATTGAATCTTCATCTCTCCTACAAAACGCTATTATGGTCTTAGAAGGGCAGACTACTACCTTTGATATCACACTGCGCAATTTGACCTCATGCCCAGTTGACCTGATATTTTTCACCTTTCAGGACTCTACGATTAGGCGGCTTCAGACAGCTATAAGCAACAAAGACAACCTCCCAGCAGATGTCTATGAACTAGAATATCAACTTACTGAAGTTCCCGCACTACGATGGAAGGTACCTGGAAATCAAGATGAAAGGCCAACGATTGGCCCGAACGAAACTTCATCGTTTACTATAGAAGTATTTGGTAAAACTGGGCTAACTGAAGCTGAGGTTCAAATTGATTATGGATTTGCTGGCATTTCTTCATCTGGAATCCCGGAGACATTCTACACAAGACAACTCAATTTCCCGCTAACAGTCACTGTTAATCCCAGTATCGAACTTGTTTGCTGCGATATTCTCCCCTTGAGCCCTGATTTCGCATGGACAAACAAACAAGGTGGCAAAGTTGCTGGCCCTGGTGATAAAAGGACACAAAGCACCCGGAACACCTCGAAAAGTGAACATCAATTTTCAACACTGCTGTCTCGGGTTGGCATGGAGCCCTATGGATCGGACCATTGTCTGCTCTTGCTAGACCTGCGAAACTCCTGGTCAAAACCACTTATCACTTCTGTCTTAGTCGCTGAGAATATTGATAAGGACAGTCGCGAATCAGCTATACACGAAATCACGGACACCCTTCAACCTGACCGTACTACTCGTATGGTTACACTCATCCCACGCTTGTTCCTAAGTCATCCCCACAAACCTATCCCGAGTTTAGGGGCTGCAAGCAAGCGACAATTTGTTGTGAGTGCGCGCCAAGTGTCTTACGAGACTGAGGTAGCAGGAAGAGAAGCCTTTTGGTTTCGGGAAGAGGTGCTAAAACGACTTCGCGGTACATGGAAAGACGAGGTTACCGGTCATGAGGGGATTATAGGTTTACGTGGAGTTACACTAACCAGCACAATGGTTGACTCTCTCCGCATGGACGACATTGAAATAACTTTTTCAATACACCCCTTGCGCGACGAGGCCAAACCCGCCTCTCTTACTTCTACGCCCACATTGCAAACGGGGTATTCCACGTTCACGATACCAACAAACTCATTTTTAACATTATGCGTTACTCTGTTTAATCGTTCCCTAAAGCCCGTCCATCCCCTTCTTCGACTTGTCCCCAGTCTCCGCCACCAACCAAGCACCGTTGCCTTAGAACTATCGAAGCGGCTATCCTGGACTGGCATGCTACAGCGCGGGCTGCCAATTCTAGAACCCGGGCAAACCGTCGAGGCTCGACTAGGTATAACGGCACTCTGTCGAGGAGAATATGAGATCGGAGCTCTTGTTGAAGAGGTCCGGCGACTAAAGCCGCAGTCCGCTTCAACGGTAGCTACCAAGGACGGAGACGTTGGTGACAATGCGAATAATCGCTCTGGCACTGAGCATTCCACCGGTGAATATGACATGTTACTCGAGAATCTTGTGGCCAATGGGCAAAATCAAAGGCGTATATGGCATGCCAGAGCGCCCTGTTTTCTGTCCGCTCGGGACTAAGACACTCTATGGGAGCACCGGTGGACTTTCTACTTATGCTAATATGTCCACGCAGACGCTGAAAATTGGAATATCCGATCTTGAGAAAGAACTGGTATTAGCGCATCGTATCCTCTGTAGCCATTTCTTTGTATTTATTCCCACCGTCCTTCGTATTGGTTTACACCACTGCATAGTTCTGATTCAGGGCGCTGAAGCGACTTCAGCCCTAACAATACAGCCAAGCTTTTTGATCCACAAAGGCTTGACAATCATTCCAGATTTCATACCTTAATTAGCTGTTCTTCCGGCCTGTGTGAGCACATATCATTTATGATTTATCTACAAAGTATAGACGACAATAACTAGCGATGACATCATGACAGAATTCGCTGAGCCTCGGCACTCTGAGAAGGTTCAAAGTTTGCTGTCGCGTTGATTTTGCGATCTTTTTGCGACGGGCACATCAGTCCATGAGACAAAGGACGGATGCTGTCCGTTAGTTACTGGTCTGCCTTGACAAACCGTCTTTCTTCCTTACAAACCCTGCCACTTTCTCGATTCCTTGGGAAGGTCAGTAGCAGAAGATACGTCTTGCCTGCTTCAATTCAGCCCGCGATGAGCTTCCTATCCTCGTTCCTCCCCAATGGCCGAGTGGCTTTCTACCACGCTCCTAAATCCGTCCTGCTTCCCCGTAAGAACCCCGGACCCGGTGACTCGAAAACTATTTCTCTCGCGGAGCTCTGCAAAGCTTCAACTCCGTCAACATGCCGGTTAAACCCTCTTCTATTCAACGGACACTTGCAGACCGCGTGGACGGTGATCAAGAACGACGACGTGCCCGTGTACTACAGGAGGTGGAGATTTGAGGCGAATAATCCGAATTACAGCGGCACTTTTGAGGTGGATTTCGTGGTGCGTCCGTACGATGTGGCTTCGGTCTCGCAGCAGTCGGACGAAAATAGGGGCCTTCCATCCCGCACGACATTTTATACGGAGAAGGAGTTTGCGGAACTACCATCGGACGACAGCAAGCCGATGCTTGTCGTCTTGCACGGTTTATCTGGAGGCTCCCATGAACTGTATCTCCGCCATGTGATTGCGCCCTTGTTAGAGCAAGGATGGGAGGCGTGCGTAATCAATTTTCGGGGTTGTGCAGAGTCCAAAGTGACCAGTTCCATTCTCTATAATGCCCGCGCCACTTGGGACGTCCGGCAAATGGTGAAGTGGCTGCGGAAAATATTCCCCAATAGGCCGTTATTTGGCATTGGTTTCTCGCTTGGTGCTAATATTCTAACAAATGTGCGCGTGCTCATCAACGCCCTCTTTATTGTCCGCTGGACTAACATGTGAATAGTATCTCGGAGAAGAGGCCGAAAAATGCGAGCTCAAGGCCGCTGTGATTTGCTCGAACCCATGGAATCTCGAAGTCGGATCACTGGCTCTGCAGCGAACATGGCTTGGTTTAGAGGTCTATTCCAAAACTATGGGTGATAATATGAAACGGCTATTTGAACGGTGAGTTTGTGCACCAACGCGAAACACTCTGAATCTTTGTTCTAATCAAGCTATAGGCATGTTGCAGCTGTAGAGAAGCACCCACGTGTTGATGTTGAACGAGTTAGAAACATCAAATATCTGCATGAATTCGACAGGTTAGTTCAAGTTGTTCCACAATACTTAAGACAAAGTGTCTGATACAAGGTCTATCAGAGCTCTACAAGCTCCAGTTTGGGGTTATCCCACAGAGACTGCGTATTACCGAGATGCGTCGTCCATCGATTCACTTTTCGCAATCAAAATCCCATTCTTTGCTATTCAGGCAGAAGACGATCCCGTAAGTCTTTCTGTCTGTATTGGATATGTGATGAGAACTGACACTTTGCAGATTTCTGTTAAGGAAGCTTTGCCCTATCTTGAGATTCAGCAGACACCTTATGGTGTAATGTGTACGACTACTTGGGGTGGGCATCTAAGCTGGTTTGAAAGCGGTGGATCTAGATGGTTCACTAAACCTGTGAGTGCGCAACCGAATCCCATTCAACCCGATTCCCTGCCCCTTGGCTATTTGGTCATCGGTAAGGCTTTGATTTACCGGTCTTTATTGCTAACGACGCAATAGGTCACCGCCTTTCTCAACAAGATGGCCACTGAAATTGACCTCAATACCCCGATCAAAGTTGAGGATACGACTCCTAAAATGCAACGCATCCCCGCTACTCCTGCTGGAAACATGCATGGACCCCCTCCTAACTTCCAGCCTATGAGGAGAAAGTGCAAAATGCCCGTCGCTCATGTTGATGACGATTAGATCATCTTGTCCGGACGCTTTCCATGTGCATGCGCATTGCCCGTCAAAGGCAAAGTGTTTCCGACAAGCTTTTTAGATTCGAGTTATTTGAAACCGGTGATTAGATTTGACGAGCGTTTAGCGTGTTTGGTGCCATCGTGTCTTTAGATAGATTTTACCTATAGCTTTTATGCCCGCATATAGATCGCTGTTTTGATCCCTAGCGTATTTTCTTTCTGGTTTTTAGAATATCACGAATTTCAGGCTGTCACATATTCAGGCGAAAGCGACGCGTTTCTTCTGCGATTTTTTCGTAGTGGGAGGCGGCTGGTTGCTGTCCTTTTGACTTGTCTGGTCATTCTCGCTCTTCTTACTCTTTCGCTTTCGCTTTAACGATTCCTTAGTTTCATCCTATTGAAATTAGTTACTACTGGTTCCAACAGTACTGGCAATAGAAATTGACAATAAGGAACTGGGAAACGACTTACAAGTTTTGATTTCTTCTGCTCTTGTCTCGCCTCAGCCTCTTTCCTCCTGGCTTCTCGGATCTCTTCCATCTGCCTGGCCTTCATGATCTTTGACTCGATTTGTCCATCCTTCTCTGCATTGACCATCGCTAAAATAGTCATCATGCTTTCCTGCACGAAATTGCTATTAACATCCAACGACCAGACAAAACTGGAAAGGGGAGAAAATTCATACCTGGTCATCCACAAAAACCTTGCCTTTCTTCTTTCCTCTCGGCTTCTGCACGCCCACAGGCGTAATCATATTGAGTGTCGGCAAGTTCAATTCTTTTTCGGTGTACTCGCGCTTCTTTTTCCGCTTCTGGAGATCTCGCTCGGTGCGAGCCTTGGTCTTCATTTCTTTTGGTGGAGGGCGCTTGGCGGCCTTTTTGGCGGAAGATTTACCAACGCGGGATTTCGAGGTAAGTGTAGAAGAGGATGGCTTTTTGGAGGATGATTTGTTGGACTTCTTAAGTGAAGCGGTACCTCTATTTGGGGCCATGACGGCTGCCGGGGAAATCGGTGTAAGGACAAATGTCGATTCAAAATGTTTCAGGCGTGATGCATTCAGCAAATCCTCTTCTTTTAGAGGCACTTGGTCCGTGGATCGGCTGGCGTGCAGTGGTGGTCAGGTACCGCTCCGCCGAAGTTTTTTCGATCAAAAAAGGCGATGCGGCAATTCGATTCCCACCAAACGAGCTCCAGCCACTCACAGCCCACCAATCCCTAAGGCGGTGAGCCTGCAAATCCGCCGTTCCTATTCGCCGGAGCCATGAAAGCCAAGACATCCGCATTCACCTCATCGATTGCGCTTCACCACGACCACTTCGATCTCTCAGCAATTCCAAGCCAATTCATGGTTACGACCCACCATGGTGTTGAACCCAACGTACCTTGCGCAACGGACGCGCTCGTGTGAGTAAACTGACCTCTTCTGGCCTCGTTGCGCCAGGCTTGCTAGGACAAGGATTGGTGGGCTAATTCATATGTGTGAACGGAACAGCCGTCAATTGGAACGATGCCAAAACAAGAGTGCTGAAGTCATATCGGGAATGGCTTCGAGCGGTTCGTTATAGTCCCTCCCTTCTTTCCTTTCTCCGGTCGCCCGGGTGCACCTAGTGTGTCGTCGATATTGAAAGCTAACCGGGCCATCGACACGTTATTCCAGTCCCCCGAAATTCAAACAATGTACTCTCTAAATCTTCCCGTATCCGCAATCCGCACAAAGATCCGGCAGGAATTTGAACGCCATCGATACGTCAACCAGTTGCCCGCCGTGGATGTGCTGTTATTCCAGAGCCATGCTGAATTTCAGGTACGCCCTCGTAAACACAAGCTCCGTGATCCAATGTCTTTCTTGGGATCCGTAAGACACGATATCTAATGCTCGATGAAATTCCATAGGAAACCCTCAATTTCTGGAAACAATTGTCGCATGTGATGAAATATTTCCGCGCTGAAGAGGACCCAACCGCTAGGTTACCGAAGAATTTCATGCAAGGATTCTTAGAGGTACGCACAACCCATTTCAAACTACCTGGCGGGCCAAATTATTTACCGGATTTCAGGGCCGGAACTAAACTTTGCTCCTGACCTGCCAACTCTTCCGTATCGTTCCTTTTCACCTGGGGTGTCCTTTTCACGTACAATAGAATGTATATATGTTATCTCGATCCTGCAATACAACCGATATGAACCTGCCCAAAAACACATGTTTCGCTTGATGCAGATACAAAGTGGCACCAATAACTCCTGCAACACCCTTTATGTCAACTCATACCGGAAGATACACACATCAGATAGACCGACACGGAAAAGAAATTATTATTGCATTTTATTCGTTTCAAAGTCATCTCGTGCCGCCGTAAACGTCTCCAAAACTACATCGCAGAGATCCATAAGGTCACTAAATCCTTTGTCAAGAACCTCGAACACGTTCGCCGGGCCTAGAAGCGAAAATAATGAGTTCTCTATCTGAGAGGAAACCAGGAAAAAGCCCCAACTTACTGTAAGTTTGGATACGCAAGTTCATCCGTTCCTCTGACGGATGGGGCATGGTGTAACCGCAGAATTCAACGCCGGGGCTAAACAACCCACTATGTTACCATGTGTCCATACACCAAAGATGCTTTTGGATCTCCTAGATCCGATGCTGATAAAAACTCACTTCTTCATAATGACGTATCTCAGCGCATTCCCTAACGTATGGTCCTCCTTTTCGAACTGGAATGAGGCTGCGGTCTCCGAGGCGCCAGGTAGCTATGCCAAAGAGCATATTTCAGCAAACTTGCACCTCCCTTACGATGGAGACCAGAGTATGCAGGTACGTACAACTTTTATTCTCTGCCTTCGGAGTTCCGCTACGCGAAGCTCCTCTTCCAGCTGCTCTGGAGACTTTTCCTGCATCTCTGCGTCGTTCAACGGAGTCGCATCCGCCATTGATTGGTCGGGGTCGTTTGGGTTAACTGGGGATGGCATGTTGAAAGCACTAGTTTCCGATGCGTCACGAAATATTGGCGTGATTGAAATAATTGGGACTTGCGGCTTAAAATAAGTATCCCCTCTAATCGGAAGCTATTAACGCAATTCGACTGAGGGAAACAGGGTGGTAACCATACTCTTATCAATATGCTGTAAGCTAGAAGCTCCAAAAAACGTGAACTTGTAACCTTTCGACGATGACTAGAACCGCATAATCGAGTCAAGGCCTTCCATGTCCTCTCATGGCACAAGAGATTAGCCCAAGGTTTTTAGTCACATGATACTAATTTCTAGATAAGATTGATAAGATAAGATGCGCTTAACCTCTCGCACTGACGGCAGGGGATGATATTAAGCCATAGCCATGACAGTTTATTGCCAATTGTCACTATTACTTTGATTTACACATCAGTATCAGTGACTGATAGCTAATTAAACCGGTGACATTACACCAGTGCCACTGATTGATATTCAACACAGACATTACCTCCGTTGTGATGTCCTCAACACCGAACATGCAAATCACAATCGCTTATCTAGTTAAAAAAATAATCAATCATTCCTCCATTGCACGAAGACCTCATCAGTTCTAAATCTCTGCGTGCAGGTCGAATCCTCCAGCTTTGTTCTGAATCCTGTTTTATAAGCCAGAATTCCTGCCTGTGCGATCATGATTCCGTTGTCAATACAGAAACGTTCATCTGTCGCAAATACATTTCCGCCTCGATCGCGCGCCATAATGCCCATCATCTCTTGTAACCGCTCGTTGCATCCCACGCCACCAACAATAAGAACTTCTCTGGAACCGACATGTGCCATTGCACGCTCTGTTATCTCGACAAGCATAGAGAAGACTGTTTCCTGTAAGGAAAAGCAAAGGTCCGCTCGGGTAGGCGTACCACCCTCTTCATTGTCCAGGGAATCGACTTTGAGTTTGAGGGCTGCTTTCTTAGTATCGGCGTCAACATTTTCCGTCTCTGATTGCTCTCCACGCAATCCATACGCCGCAGCTAGCCCGTCCACGGTAGCCAAGATTCCTGAAAACGAACAGTCCATTCCCTTCACTGTATAGGGCAGCTCAACCAACCTCTTCCCTTTTTTGGCTAGCTGTTCAATATTATATCCGGGTGCGGGATCATTAGAAATATGCAATGTGCGAGCAAAACGATCAAGGCAATTGCCCACCGCAATATCAAGAGCTTCCCCAAAAATACGATATCGTTGAGAGCTGTAAGCGATGACTTGGGTATTTCCGCCAGATACGTAGAGGACAATTGGATTTTGCGCGCCGGTGATATAGCGACCCATCTCAATATCTAAACCCGACTTAGTAAACGCAGTCTACTTGAGGAGAACAAATGTAGCCGCCTTTCAATATGGATTACATACGTCCAATGCAGTGATTAACTCCGACCAACTCTTTCCCCCAGAGTAAGCTTAGCATCCGCGCCGCCAATGCTACACTTTGTAACGGAGCGCCCATCCCGGGACCCTTGGTATAGCAGATACAATCAACATCATCAACACCAATTTTCGCTTCCTTCAATGCACCTTTGACGAGGGTTACTACCCACTGGCGGTGGTGCTTCGCTGTATCCTTTGGCAGGAATCCTTCTCCGGGCGGGGAGACATAGGTATGACGAATATTGGCGAGGACTTGCGGTTCGCCGCCATCGTCGGGGTGCAAGATAATACCTACTCCCAATTTGTTAGCTGAGCCTTCCAGGCCAATGGCAATCATAATGCCTTAATATCAGGCCAGCACTCTGGTAACAAGAACTTCAGTGACATTGTAACAGCAAAGAATCCCCCAATCACTCATCAGTCACTATCGATAACGGAAGTGGGGTCCGGTCACGTGGAGCATTTGGTCTGAAATATCGGATCGGAATAACCTTTATGCCGACCGGTTTGCATGCCATAAGGTGCTCAGTAGTCCACACCTCCTCTTCCTCACACAGAACCCTCTCCCCTCTCTCCTGTGCACAACCTCTTTGCCCTTTCTCGTTGTTACTGTACAATTGTCCTGTAATTTCCCTATTTTATCCACCTTCTAGCTTGTGATAAATGGTTCATGAGCAGCTGCACCACCCTATGGACCATTCTGCAGATGATGGGTTTGCCGAGAAGTCTGATGGGTTTATGAACTGGCTTAAGAGCCATCCTGGGGTAAGAGTGAGCTTCAAAATCAGAATCGCCGATCTGAGATCGAATGCTGCTGGTAGAGGCGTTGGTTAGTACTGAATGCTCCCTGTGGGAAGCCTCGCTTGCTAACCAGAAACAGTCGCTTGTGAGGAGATAGCCCAGGATGAGGAACTGTTTGCCATTCCTGAAAATCTGGTCCTTAGCGTTCAGAACTCGAAACTAAAGGACCATCTCAACTTCACCGACAAGGAGCTCGATTCCTGGTTGTCCCTTATCGTAACCATGATCTACGAATACCTTCATGGCGGGGCATCGAGGTGGTCATCATACTTCGCGGTCCTTCCCACAGACTTCGATACCCTCATGTTTTGGTCACAGGACGAACTCCGTGAACTGCAAGGAAGTTCAGTTTTGAGTAAAATCGGAAGACAGGAGGCTGACGAAATGATCATGGGTAAAGTGTACCCCCTTATTTTGGACTATCCAGGCCTTTTCCCAACTCCAAAGGAATTGTCTTCATTCAATTCCCAGCAAGGCAAGGAAGCAATATTACATCTTGCTCATCGGATGGGCACGCTGATTATGGCGTATGCCTTTGATATCGAAAATGAAATGGATCGAGAAGAGGAGGATCAAGATGGCGAAGATGGGTATATCACGGATAACGAACAGGAGACTGCTAAAGGCATGGTTCCGCTCGCGGATATGCTCAATGCTGATGCTCATCGAAATAATGTGAGTGTGACCTTGTGGACTCATTTCAATCGCAGCCTAACGACTTTTAGGCTCGCCTCTTTCAAGAAGACGGTTATTTCATTATGAAATCCATAGTCCCCATCAGTATGGAAGAGGAAATTTTCAACGATTATGGCGAGCTTCCTCGCGCGGATCTTCTTCGTCGATATGGATATATCACTGAAAATTACTCTCCATATGATGTTGTGGAAATCTCTTTAGAGGCAATATGCAAAGTAGCTGGTGTCGAGAAAAATTGCCCACAGGTGAGCCTACCAACTCATTCCTTAAATGCTCAGAATTCTCTGGACTAATATCACAGCAGCTTGAACTCCTCGAAACCGCTGAAATTCTCGAAGACGGGTACTCCCTGCTTCGACCTGAAACCGATGCCAACCTAGTGGAGGCTATCTCTCCCGAGTTGATTGTCCTACTTCGAACGTTAACGATGACTCCCGATAACCTAAACCAAATGAGGGTAAAAGGAAAGCTCCCCAAGCCTCAGCTTGATCAAGCCAGTGCGAAGTTGCTTATCGAAGTGCTTCAAAGTCGCCAGAACGACTATCCCACCACAATAGCGCAGGACGATGAACTTCTCCATTCTACACATAGCCATCGTAGGGAGATGGCAATTCGAGTGAGAAAAGGGGAAAAGGAGGTTCTTCAGCTCCTTCTCAATGGTCTCCACACATACCTTGGCGAAATCGCAGAATCCCCTAAACACCAACCCAAACGATCAAACCCGGACACCGGTAAAGGAAGGAAAATGCCAAAATTGAAATAGACCAACTAGCATCTAACTCCCCATGGACAGATTCAACTGTCGAAATCGAAAGGGTTTGTTTTGAAGTTTTCAAATTTTTATTTGATTTTCCTGTCTAACTTCGATAGTAGCTTACACGGATCTATCCCGATACCGCTTGAAATATGTACACTAACAGACAGTGCAAAGGTGATTTAACATAGGTTCCAGTGGCATCAATCCGAGGATTCTTGGCCCGGACAGCGCATTGGATTCATACGAGTTTCGAGTTTGAGCGGGGGATAAGCGATCGGGAACATAAGTGTTGTTGCGGGGTGATTCAAATTGAGAATGTCGAGAGGGCGAAGGGCAGAGGGCGAAGGGCAGAGGGCGAAGGGCGAAGGCAAAATGACAACGACAATTCGACGCGATTATGAAGGGAGTGAGTTCAAAGATGAGGGTTGTGCACCTTTCGGTACGGGGTTGGAAGGAACGGGAGTTCCCCCTTGAGAACCAACTTGCAGCCGTCTACCATTTTGGGCCGCAGCGTGAGCTTGAGCTTGCAATTGAGCTTGGATTGCCTGATCCCTTGACGTCTTCGCATGGAGATACGCTCGATGCTGCATGATATGGATGTTGAATTCATCTCGCTCATATACCGGGTCAGCGTCGTCCTCATCATCTTGATCGTACTTAAAACGATCCAATTGCACCGGATCGACATCATTCCTACCACGGAATGGGAGATTTCTTCGGTCAATCATCATGCGACCACCTCTACCAATTCGACGGCGGAAGCACGGCATTCCTCTTCGTGATTGCTCTTCAGTGGTATCTGTGACTTTGTGGACTACGGAAAACTTATCACCTATTCCTTCTCTCGACACGTCCTGCATCGGATCGGAATTCTCTGATGTTGGAGGGGTTGGGAGATATTCTGTGATTGCCGGTCGAAAATCCGAGCCATCGAAAGTTTGTAGAGGTGGTTTTGGGGTAAGTGGCGCACGAGTCATATCTACATACCCCTCGTTCCACTTGGCATGTTTTATGACATTCTGTTTGATGTCTCGGGAAATTTCATTTTCCTTATCGGCTTGAACATCCTCCAACAGTCTTAACTCGTCTGTGGGTTGTCCAGTTGGCCTCACAGGAGCACGAAGTTGAGGAGCTGCAGGCCGTGCCGTCGCAGCAATATCTGCTGGTCGCTTCTTGGGCTAGAAGAGTGTTAGCAAAAAGCTTTGCTCTCCGGGTTGGAATACACACCTTCTGGTTGATGAGATCTTCATCATCGTCCTTGATACCCAGTTTGCGTTTCATTTCCTTGACTTCAGCACGCTGCATGAACAGTTGTCTTTCTATAGAAAATTGTTCTTTCCTTGCCATCTCGCGTTGCCGAACGAGAGCAACCAGCTGCCTGGCATCCTCTAATTCTTTCCTAAGGCGTCGAAGTTTCTCTGCGCTTTGTGCATCTCTGCCACGAGTCTTACGGGCTTGTCGTACTTCTCTACGCCGGAAGCAAACATACGGATCACTGTCATCGGTATCCTGTCCGGATTCAAACTACATTTCTGTGAGCAAATGGGCCCGCAACATGTCAGGGTCTAGGGCTACCTACCTTCAAGTTTGGTTGCAAAGGGCAATTAGCCAGTTTTGCACGCCTTGACTTCCAATGCTCATATATGGCTTTCGAGAACTTTCTCAGCGATTCGTCGATATTTCCATCAAAACACTCTTCCATTTCCTCATACGGAACTACAGGAGGGTTATCAACTGCTGCAAAAGGCTGCTTGGTGTGGGCCGTCTCTTCAAAGAAACTCATCAATTCTTCGAATTGGTCTTCCGTGCATTGCGTTGACGCATCCGCTTTCTGGTTCATAATTTTCAAAACAACATCGTCTTCCTCTACCATATTATATGGATGGCCGCAACAATCTTCAACGGTGGATGAGAACCGAATATATGTTGCGGGCTGGGAAAACGCTGCAGGATATAATTTGCCATACTGAAGGGAGCTTGTGACGGTTTCTGGAGTGGGGATATGGGCTTTTTGCGATGCATGTCCATGAGAAGCGGCGTTTATCGCAGCTTGAAGATGGTATTCCTATCATGCAGAGAGTTGTTAGCCCTGGATCCCAGCTCTAGTTCTTGAAGTGATATACGAAGTCGGAGGACATGTCACGTGACCATGATGGTAACATGCCGGAAAAATTTGCAGGAGCAACACTTACGCTTTCCTCAGCCTTTTCAACACCGGTTTCGATGTTTTGTAGTGTGGTTTGGAGATCATCGTCGGTGAGGTCTAGCTGGTGATCCCTGTAGATGGGTATGTGCTGCTTTGAGGTGAGTTTTTTGGGTCGTGTCGACCGCATCATCCCCCCAAGCCGCGACATAAGTCTGGCGCGACGACACGAAATTGACCATAAGCAACCAGGCCCGAAATGGGTATTAAACCGTAGCGTATCTCATGTAGAATCTCGCAAATTGATTTTCAAGACAATAAAGCGATATTTTGGTGAGAAAATCGAATTTCAAAGTCAGTGGCAAGTCGGTGGTTTGATGAGTTGATGTTGCGATGCCGCCACAAAAAGGCCTGTTTTAGGCACCTAACTAGGCTCAGGGGTGCGCTAATCCTTCCGCTTTGGGTTAGTGCGGGGCGGACCAATATCAGATTCACCCAAACCTGGAGAAATACCGTATCAGGCTAGTCCAGCCTTATCAAAGACATTGCCGGCCAACCGCCATTCACGTCTTGCTGGGCTGAATAGCTTCATTGCTCGTTTCTTTGATGCTCTTCAATGTTTTGCTTATAATATCAGCATTGAATTGGCGTTTAAGCTCTTTTGCGCTTCATTTCCAGTATCGCAACGTCCATTGACGGGCTCCTACCATGGCTGAACAGAATATTACCGATGACGCAACGAGACAGCCCGGCTCAAGCTCCCAGGTGATCAATGATATTGTATCGGGATCCAATTGTAAGCGCCCCCTACATGGCGATTCTACCGTATATCTGTGATCTTGCGGCTAACTTAACCTCCCCATCAGTCGATCATGAAGAAGTTGACAGGCTCTGGAAACGTTTCATGAAATTGGATAGGGTGGGTGAGATTATCTGGAGGCAGCAATCCATTACTTACGCCTACTCTAGGATCAATCCGGTACCATTGAGCGCGATGAATTCCTATCCCTCCCTCAAGTTTCCTCGAATCCGCTTTCAACCCGGTAAATCATCTTATTCCCATACGCGCAGCGGTTATCAAAATGTCTTCCTGACAAAATTCAAACCAGAATGATAGCCATCTTTGACGAAGACGGTGGTGGTGATGTGGATTTTCAAGAATTCGTTTCTGGCCTCTCGGCATTTAGCTCGAAAGGGAACAAGGAGGAAAAACTCCGTTTCGCGTTCAAAGTATACGATATCGATCGTGATGGTTTTATTTCCAACGGAGAATTATTCATTGTATTGAAGATGATGGTGGGGAGCAATTTGAAGGATATGCAGTTACAACAGATCGTCGACAAGACCATTCTGGAAGCGGATATGGACGGAGATGGGAAGATAAGTTTTGAGGAGTTTACACGAATGGTTGAAAATACTGATGTCAGCATGAGTATGACCTTGGGTGCGTTGTCACTTTTCCTACCGTTCTTTAATTTCCTTTTCAGCGAAATGTTGCTAATCCATTGCCGTAACAGATCAATTCTGAGCGTCTTTGGCGGAATATTCTTGGCGTCGGTTTTACTAACTTTGATTCTTGTTCTTTTGCGCTCCAACAAATGATATCCACCTCTCTCGATGAACATTACGTTGGCTTTAATTTTATCATGTCAGCATCGAGCGTCGAATCTTATGTTTATGAGCTTTGATGACCTGGGATAACTAGATGAGCTGAAGTACCACCACAATTGTCTTTACGACTTGAAGACGAGCCCCAGCCGGTCAAATTTAGCCCCAAATCTCAGCTTGCTGATCTTTGATTACTTCATGAATTTGGCAGGACGGGTCGCCATTCTAAGACTGTAGTTGCGCCGCTATAGCCTGGTCAAAGGATGGGAAGTAGGCGAAACGACATCAGTTTGAACCTTAGCACTGACATTTTGTATAGTCACTATAAAGAAGACATGTCTTTGCAGCGAGAACACACTAGCTGGGCAAATAATGACCATGTTTGAAAAATATTCGGATATTGAGTATGCATATAACTGGAGCACTGGTACATGTTATCTGAACGGCTGGGATATCAATACTCTACCAAAAAATCATTTTCCCACTGCGTTTCTAACCACCTATAAGGTCATGTGCATAGGGCACCTGCTATCCAGGGCTCTCAGTAGGTGTAGTCAGGTACAGCTCAAAGCCCGGGTTAAAGACCCAATCATCGCAATGCCTACGTAGCTCAGTCGTACATGTAACATGGTTGCTGCGGTAGGGTCTTACCAAACCGCCGGAGATGCAAAGTAAATCGGCCAACGAATCAGAAACTGAATGATGATCCTTTTCAAAAGGGTGCAGATGGCCGACATGAAAAAGCAATGGGTGAATTTGCAATGAATGGATGCTGGATTGAAATGCAAAAAAGAGCTTGTGAAAGAGCAACTAAAAAAATATGAATCTCCGCTTCAACCAAATTAATGTCTTTATGTGTCCAGCTAAGTTGACGGGCGGAAAGCCTCGTATTTATAACATTAGTGGCATGGAGACACTGATTTTCGCCGCATATCACTACATTAGAATGGAATTGGGCGCAAAATAGAAATACAAAGGAGCGAGAACACGGGGAATCGTAACACAAACTGAAATTGGAGATATCAAACGACCCCAGAGAGGTATGGTTAATTAGTTAGACAACAAATTCCCAGCAAAAAGAAAAACGGTTCCAAGTGCCGGAACACCACCAGTCCCAGCGCTTGACGCCGCACAATGCTCGCCGAATTGCTTCGATGCCACTTTATCCAATTTCCCCCAGGCGTACGAGAAGAAAAGCAGCTGTCAGACAACAGACGCAAACAGATAAGGAGGCAAAAAAAACGAAAATGAAGAACTCCCGAAGAAATCAAGTCCAAGCCATTCACTCCAAGTCGAGTCTATACCACTCTAAAATCTAGGTCATGGGATATCGTCGATGCTTCGTTTCGCTGGAATAAAAAGGAGTAAAAAAAGAGGCCTCCCATATCGAAAATATGCACTAATATAAAATACAGCCGAAGTAGAGTCGTGAGGGTAGTGTCTCGTGTGGTGTCGGGTTCACTGACCATACCACCCAAATTATTAAATCTCTAATTATGAGAAAAAACCAGCATAACGTTCGAGAGGGTCTCGAGGATTCGAAAGGAAAAGGGCTGATTCAAAGGCAACGGTTAACGACCGGCAGCGCCAAGTTGGCTACGAGTGGTCGAAGTTGTCTCTTCGTATTCTTCTAAAAGGTCAAGACATTGACTAATGACTACAGAATTGCTTGTTAGAGAGACAATCCCAGCAGTGCGGCGAGCCTAGTAGTCAAGGACATGTACTAACCACTCAAAATCTCCTCTTCCCATACACCCATTTGATAATCGACTAATCCATACTGCTCGATTCTATCGCATAACCGGACCAGATCTCTTCCCATTTTGCTAAGAATTTCTTCCGTTAACATCTCCTGTGTTGGAGCTCCGGAGTCGAACATCGATTGTGTAGTATCCTTTTGTTTTTGACAGAGTGCTAGCCAGCAAGTGTTGAACTCATCCCACAATTTAATCCGGTCAGTGTGCAAGTGCTCTTCATCGCGAACAAGGCCTACAATCAGTCATTAGCTCGAAATAGGTCGCTCTCCCTAGTCTGCATTGTGACTAAAAGAGAGCTCAAGTCAAAATATCACATACCAAGGTCCACAGCATTTCCTAGTAGCCATTCCGACATTTCAACGAGAGATCGACTTGCAGGGATCAATCGCCCAATACGAATGTTTTCAAATGTTTGTCGCAAGGCTTGCTGGTACTGGTTATACGCATCTTCTAGGCCCGAGGAAGGCTCTCTGGGCCGTTCCGACGTGTTAAGCGACTCCGGCGCAACTGGGGCGTTAAAACCAGCCATAGTCTCCGAGAATGAAGTCACGATATGTGGACGAGCGGCAGAAGGAGACTGTGAATACGGAGTGTGTTGGACTTGTGTGGTTAAGTAATGAGCAGATTCCGGGGCGGGCGACTCGTCCGTTGGGTAGTACTGTGGGACCCCAAATTGTGTCGCCAATACTTCAATGGCCGCAGAGTGCCGCGGTTGATAATGTGAGGCCGTGTCATAGGGTGAATGCGGCGGGGCCTGCGGCGCAATGTTGTAAACCATTCCGGGGTCGTACGGCTGCATCCGATGCTGATGCTGTTGATGATCTTGATGGCCTGTCTGCTGCGTCGCCTGCGACGGATTTTGCCTGGATGAGGAGGCAGAAAAATCGTGTTGATAAGGTAGCGTTCCGCTCTGCAATGATCCGCTTTGGAGCGATGATGCGTTGTAGGGCGTCGATTCGGCGTATTCGAAACCGCTGTATGAGAGTGAGGGATTACGGTTATGTTGCGCCACTGTATCCGCGTGAATCCCACGAGAATTGGGAGACTGATTGTTTTCTCTAAACCGATGTATAGGGTTCTCTTGAGAATGCTGCAATGGTCGGGACCTCGATATGCCGGCGGCCGTGGGGGTGCGAAGAGAAGTCGTACTTTTTCCGCTGACTGCTGTCACCGTCCATTCCCCGAAGCTGCTCTGAGGCGGTCCCGCCCCGCGACGAATCGAAATACGGAGATCGATGCGTCGGAGGCGAGAGTGGAGGGCTGGCGTAAAATTCCAGTTTTGCTTTCCGGCTGGCAGGTCCCAAAAAAGGAGATGGTACTCCAACTGACCGCGCCTGCAGAGAATCGTGACTTTGCTGGGCCAAAAAGTGCAAAGTCGCCGAGAACAGAGGCCCTCCTTGCGTTAAGATCCCCAAAAACTTCGGAGAATTCTCGTTGGTGGAAATGGGGGTAACCAGGGAATGAACTATGAGTTAAAAATTTGGGACAGGGGAAGATTGTGTTTCCACCAGGGTATGCCAAATATCTAATGTAAATGGGAAAAAAGT